ATAATTCACTCACACGCTTACGTATTCATATATGTCTTTAGTTTATGCAATAATACCTTTGCTTCTTCTTTTATAGAGACGTGAACGAGGCCATACAAGTTTCTGTTTTGAGGGAACTACAAGAAGAGAAGAAATTGAAGGTATGATATTAAAAATCTTGAATTAGATCAAGATGATCTCAATTTTGTGGTTTAAATAGTGTGTTATTTTATTCAGAGATACAAAAGGTTAACTATTTATAGGAAATCATAAGGAATAACTGATCTTATGTAATAACTAAATGCTACCAAGTCAGTTTTACCATTTATCATATTTATCCTGTGTATAAAGCATACATATATTTCTATAGTTATCAGGTTTCCATCCATTCATTTTGGAAGATTTCATTATAAATGCTTTGTAAAAACACCAGGATGCTTATAAAATGTGGCTGATACTTGATATTTTTGTTTGGCCTCTGCAATACATAGAATGTAAATTATGAATATTGAAATTATTTGTGTGATTAAATTTTTTCATACTACTTATATACTTATATCCACAATATGTTCACTTTAACCCAAGTAATTATCTAATATAGATCTTTCATGGCACTTGTAATATAAGTGTGTAAAAGATTTGTTGTGCTTGTGTGTTTCTAGTAAATTTTGTTATTGGAATAACAGTATTTTTTTGCTTATGTGATGGCGTGATGTGTTGTTATCTGCTATTATGTAAAGTTATTCAACTGTTTAACCACACAGCGCTCTTGACCAGACAACTGTTAATGTTTTCAGACTTGATCGCACAGACTACTTTTTTCATAATTTCTATGATTTTTTTTTATTGATGCTGAGCAACAGAAATGTTACAAAGTTTAGATGTCCAACATTATTTTAAAGAGCTAATTGATAGATTTGCTCCTCAGTTTTTTTAGCACACTTTATAAATTCTAATGATACTTGATCATAATTTTAACATGAGTAAAAGGCAAACTACAAATGAAAGATGCCATTTGAACCCAGTATTTAAACACGACTTTCTAGATTTTTTCTTTTTTCTTTTATCTTTTCAGAACTCCCTGATGGCACAGTTGGCGGAGTCTCAGGCAGCGTAAGTGAGCTGAAACATCAAGCTCCTTTTAAGACACATGAAGATATACGAAGCTTGAGTATCACACAAGAAAAGGAGCACTTTTATGCACTATTCTAATGTTTTTTATTACCACAGTTAAAAAAAAAAACAATTAATACAGAGAAATAGTGATTAAAATATTTAAATAGGGCAAATACTATTAGACAGTGATACTCATGGATCAAAACATGTATGGAGATGTGGATCAGTTGTGACGAGACGAACAGAAAGTTTAACCAATGTGTCCATTTTCTCTCCTCGCTGCCCTACAATGAAATATTTTGTCCAATTAGATTTGAGCTTTTGGTAATGTATCTTGTGATGCTGCAGTTTCACAGAACAGTAAGACTATTAAAGTGTTTGTAAAACCCGTGTAGATGAAGAAAAAGAGCTCAGGAATAGAATAATTATTGAGTGTTATCAACCTAGTAAAGTTTGTTTCTGGTACCAAACTTCTTTTTGTGATTGGATAGAGTGCAAGAAATTACATTGCTACAAATTATATTCATACATCAGAATACATTCAACATCAGGATGAGTTTCTTAGTGGGTGAGTATAAGAAAATGCATTATTGTGATCAGCGCCATGCAGGCATGAATTTACCAATCAGTTTCATCTTCAGTTTGAAAGTCACACATTTTACTGAATCACCATGTTTTGTGTGAGAATCTGCGTGAAACGGTTTTAAGTTACCTTTTTAGCTGTTTAATTTTCTTTTGCAAGATGTGTATGTGTGTGTGTGTGTGTGTGCGTATATATATATATATATATATATATATATATATATATATATATATATATATATATATATATAGATATATATATATAGATACAGGTTTGACTAAACGATGACAAAGTTAACATTTTGGGGTGAACTATCCCTTTAATGACTCAAAAATAACAAATGAGACCTTTATTCATAATAATTATAATGGACCTGACTAACAGCCTCCCCTCTGTTTGTAACAGGCTTCAGCGTAATGAAGTCACTCTTGTACAGTCTCAGACGTGTGTGCAGGAACTGACCACTGAACTCAGGAACCGTTGCCTCGAGCTTCGAGAGCTGCGCCAGAAAGACCAAGAACAGGAAAAACTACAGCAGGTCAGCGAGATACACAATTTAACTTGAAGAGGGCGGGATCAAGCTGTCAATCACATGAAATCCACCAATAGCAAACCATGAAATGCGGTTGGTGGATTTTCAATCAATTCCCCATGAACAAATTAGTCAAAAAAAGCCTTGCAAGTTCCATTTAATGCCATAAACAGACCTTTTTTTTAAATATCAGATTTTTTTTTGCCAATTTTCCTCAAATTACTAGTATATTGTGCTGTTTATTCCATTTCAGCAGTCATTTCACTAATTTGATGGCAGTTTACCAGTATCACTTTGTGAAAGAGACTAAGGAGATTTCTTTGAATAGAAAATGTTGACCTGGTCACAAAGCAACAATCTTAATGCCACACAACACCAAAGGATTTGAAGTCGCATGTTTCTTTTTTAGAAAAATGTTAACCCTAGCTGTGTCCTGCAGGAAATCGAGGTTTTGAGAAAGCAAGTAGATCATCTGACAGAGGAAAATGGGAAACTGCTGGGCCATCAGAACCCCAAGCAGAAGATCGAATACTTGGTCAAACTGAAAAAGGAAATCACCAAACTACAGGAGGTCAGTGTGAACCGATGGCTTCTTGTGTCTTAAACCAGAGCCTGTAGAAAGCAGAAGAATGTATACATTTAAATGGGGAAGACTGGGGATTTAGTCAGAACCATTGAACCACACTCAGTTTTGCACAAAAAAATGCATTTAAAAGCAAAATTATGGCAGATATATTGGTACATTCACTGCTAATGGGGGTGTAAATGGATGTTTATGCTAATTTAATGAACATTCAGTTTGTTTTCAGTTCATCTCAACCTGTATAAGTTAATTTGCACTCATGATGGGAAAGTACTGCCAGCTAATGATTTCATAAATGGACAAAAGTGGAAAATTGTGTACATGTACAAATAAATTGCTTTATTTTTGGGACCTGAAAACATATTTTGTGTGTGTGTGTGCACAGACATGCAGATTCTTTAGTCTCATCACCAACATTTGTTTTAGTACATCTTCGTAGTTTAAAACCAAGAAATGTGTGTTTTAGGAGAACGGCAAACTCCGGCAGTGTCTTCACATGGAAGAAAGTCCTCCAACAGGCCTACAACACACTCACCCTTGACATGCTGGAAATATAAAGTAATGAATATTACACTTTTAAAATTCTTTGTGATGTTTGTCTCGTCTGTATTTTTTTTCTCACCAAATATGTTTTGATTTTTATGATTGTTTTTTCCCCTTTTTGTCCTAAATGGTAGCTTTGTACGTTGTTCAAAGTTTAATTATTTTTCTATGATAACTATTAAAGCAACCCTTCAAAAGAAAACATTGCGTTTTTGTATATATGGTACATTTTGGAGAGGTTTCGTGCACGGCGGTGACCTAAAATGACAAAGCTGAAGTCAAACAAAGGACTTTTGAGATGGCAGACTCATACCAGGTTTTTAAATCGTTTACTAGGTTTAACTTATTAAAATTGTAAGTCAAAACAAAGGGTTCCTTCTGTTGTGATGGAAGTTAAAATGATCGGTCTTAAAATTTAGCTGACGAAAAATCCATTCCAGACAATTAAGCATTTCAGTAAACGGTTAAGTGACGTACTACTTAGTTAAATATTAAAAACGCGGAGTAATACGCATCATTTACTAGCACAAGTAAGCAAGTCTGCTGGTATGGTACTTGACTTCGGGTCAGAGTATATATTACGGAGCTACGGTGTCGATAGATTTCAGCCCTTTTTGCGTAAACATGGGTGGCTCTTAAAAGAGCCTTTGGGTTAGCTGAAGATGAATCAGCGCTTTACTTGGAGCTGGTGTACTTGGTGACGGCCTTTGTACCTTCGGACACGGCGTGTTTGGCCAGCTCTCCGGGCAGGAGCAGACGCACGGCGGTCTGGATCTCTCTGGAAGTGATGGTGGAGCGCTTGTTGTAGTGAGCGAGACGAGACGCCTCACCGGCGATGCGCTCGAAGATGTCGTTGACGAACGAGTTCATGATGCCCATCGCCTTCGAGGAGATCCCGGTGTCAGGATGAACCTGCTTCAATACTTTGTACACGTAGATAGCATAGCTCTCCTTCCTGGTCCTTCTGCGTTTCTTGCCGCTTTTGCCGGCGGTCTTGGTGACGGCTTTCTTGGAGCCCTTCTTGGGTGCGGTCTTCGCTGGTTCAGGCATGATACTTCGAGGTGATCAGAACAACTCTGTGCTCCTCAATGACGCAAACTGGGTATTTATTCGGACCTTATGCAAATTTTAGAAGGAAAACTCAGCCCTGTCTGATTTGTGTATTGGCGCAGTGAATGTATGACGCTGTTTTCATCAGCCAGTAAGCAGACCGGTTTAGCCAATGGTGTGCTTCGATACTTTAGTCTCCACCCACGTAAATCTTCCGCATTGATATCGTTGTTTATTGTTTAACTTTCCCGCTCGAATTTGTACTCTGGGTTAACATTCTTTGGACAATCTACATTTATTGGGAAAAATAGAGTCAGTAAAGATGTTTCTAGCAAGCGCAACATTACTAAAATGTATTATAGTTTTATTATTAATTTTAGTTTTTTTTAAGGGTTTGTTGGGTTCGTTTTATTTATAAACTAAAACATTAAAATTTAAGACGTTTACATTGTATAACAGAAAAAGAAAAGGAACAATAAGGGTAGACCTATGCATTAATTGCAATACAACTGTTAAACCACTTCTTTCACACCAAAGTCATAAGCCCTTAAATTGCAGGTTTTTAAAGTGGTGTTTCCAAAAACAGAATGTAGAACAATGAACCAAGCATAAAATTGATTTCTTATCACATTTCTATTTTTATATTCATTTTTTTTTTCAATAAAGTCTGTCAAAAATGACACAAATCCTGCTGATACTGCATTTACTACACTAAGTGTACGTGGAGATAAATAATGAGGGTTATTAACTTACTGATGTGTTTTTATCAACTTTGCGGCCATAAAATTTAATTTTTACCTGATAATATAAAATTAATCACTTATATTTATCAGTTTGTTTGAATGATATAATCCAATATGTAAAAGTCAACGCGGCTTAACTGCAGTTCAAAGAGAATATATACCTCCTACTTTAATGTGAAATTACACACCAAATATTCAAACGGGTTACAATTTTCCCCGCTCAGTTATCCATTCTACACGCTTTGAGATTAAAAGAAAATATATTAGTTATAAGTTTTATTAAGCATTCAACAAGATAAATTCTTAAGATTTATCAAGGCAAACGTTCAATTACTTGACCTCAGCTCATTTATGTGCAATGTTGTAAAACTCACAATACTTTTCTCACAAAACGTACTCTTTCTATGATGATATGGGTGGCTCTTAAAAGAGCCGTTGATTTAGTGTTGTAAAGAAAATATTTAACCTCCAAAGCCGTACAGAGTGCGACCCTGTCTTTTCAGAGCGTACACAACATCCATGGCGGTCACGGTCTTTCTCTTGGCGTGTTCGGTGTATGTAACAGCATCACGAATCACATTCTCCAGGAACACCTTGAGAACACCGCGAGTCTCCTCATAGATCAGACCGGAGATACGCTTGACTCCACCACGGCGAGCGAGACGACGGATTGCGGGTTTGGTGATTCCCTGGATGTTATCACGCAAAACCTTGCGGTGACGCTTGGCGCCTCCTTTTCCAAGTCCCTTACCGCCTTTGCCTCTTCCAGACATGATTAAGAATTGCAACTTCGGCTGTTTGAAATCAAACTCCTACCAGACTGAGCCTGAGCGCGGGCTTTACAGTTGCTCAGCGGACCTAGTTGAAACATGCAAAGGCGGAGTCATGCAACGTCACAAAATGCAAGTCATTGTTGGCAGGACCTTTACTATTGTTTTAACCCGTTCAGTAATATACATTATTTGCTTTCATATGATTTTTGAATGTGTTTGTACAGTCCATCGAGCGTAAATCTTGAGTTCCGTTACAAACCGCTGACCAAGTCCAGTATTTCTCAAATATTCGTGCGAAAAAAAGTGTACACTGGTTAGCTGGTCGACCAGGGTGCTTTTTCAGTAGGGGTTACTTTAACCATGAAAACTACGTTTTTGATTAAATACACAACTGAGTCCTAAACATTATACTTTACTCATTTACAGCAGTTTTGGCTTGCCCAGTGAGATGTTATTAATTTTCAGATAACATGTTTTTAGTAAAAATAAGGGTTAGTTTATAGAAATAAAGGGTCTTGTCGAGGAACTCATTTGCTTATAAAAGTAATTTGTTATCTTAAACATCCTACTGTTATAGGATCATTATTATTTTGCAAGGATGTTTTTATTTAAAGAGCAAAAAAAAAACTAATTAAAAATATATCTAGAAACATCCTATTTACGATATTTTATTGAAAGAATATAATTAACAAACGGTGTTAATTGAATTGCTCTTTACAGATTAAGTGGGTGGCTCTTAAAAGAGCCTTTGGTTGACTAAAAACCTAAGCGATTTATTTGCCTTTAGCGGCCTTCTCGGTTTTCTTGGGCAGCAGCACGGCCTGGATGTTGGGCAGCACACCGCCCTGAGCGATGGTCACACCGCCCAGGAGTTTGTTCAGCTCCTCGTCGTTGCGCACCGCCAGCTGCAGGTGACGGGGGATGATACGGGTCTTCTTGTTGTCCCGAGCGGCATTTCCAGCCAACTCCAGGATCTCAGCGGTCAGATACTCGAGCACTGCGGCTAAGTACACTGGAGCACCGGCACCAACGCGCTGAGCATAGTTACCCTTACGGAGAAGCCTGTGAACACGGCCAACGGGAAACTGAAGCCCTGCTCTGGATGAGCGAGATTTTGCCTTTGCCCTGGCTTTTCCGCCGGTTTTGCCTCTTCCACTCATGGTGCAATTCTCTCCGAACTTATCAGAATATGTGCTTAAAGCGTTTCACCATTGTTTATATAGGAAGATGCTCGCCGCCTATTGGTCAGAATATTTTTCCGTTGCAAACCAATCACCAGGCGTCCCTCCAAATTTCAAACCTCTCTCACTTCTGGTATTATTTTCTGTTGACAAACCAAGATGTATAATGATTTGAGTCACTTTATGAAATGGTAGCCATTTTCAAATTTATCTTTATAAGTGTAAGCATAATTTTTTTTTAAAGATTTTAATCTACCAAAAAAAAAAGAACACTCTTCTCAGGCACAAAATCTTTTGGCAAGAAAGCCTATCTTGTACAACCCCATTACAGACATGTTTGATATTTAGTTATAAAACAAGAAATAGAATTTAAAATTAAAATGTTTTTTATAACAAAATGTCCTCATTTTTGCAAACAACGACTGTATTTTAATCTTTTTTAATCTGTATTTCATTGTTCACACAAAAAAAACTCGCTTAAAAAATTCAACTCACATTTTTTTTTTTATTAAGTTTAAGTTCCATAAATCTTTAATAAAATGACCCTGTGACAAGGTGGTTTTTGATGTGAGAGGGTTGTTCACTGTGACAGGCTGGTGTGTACAAAGTTCTTCTATATAAACTGCTGATTTTAAGCTTTCTTTTTTAAGTGGAGAGTTTTTTAAATATTCAAATACTTTTTTAACTGTGATTAGTGCAGTTTAAACAAATATGTATTTTTCTTATTTTGGGGTAATGAAGGTAGACTGGGGGTAAGATGGACCACCACAATGTTTTGCACAGAAAGACCAAATGGGATGCTGTTTATGGCATTCATATATATAATGTTTTTATTATTATTATTTCTTTTTGTGCTATAACAAAAGAAAACTCTGTGTTATACACACACACACTCACACACAAACTATTGCTAATCGATGACGGGACAGCTTTATATTTTGGCACATTTAAACAAAACTATGTTATTGATCAGTTACATTTATTACCAAATCTCCAAAACCTTAAGCTATTTCTCATTTTTTGACAATAGCATGAAACACTTTTTTTTAAAAAATATTTCACACAATTCTCTACCTAAAACACAACAATCTAAAAGGAAGTGACTTGCTTTTTTTCCAAACACAACCAATCGAAATGCTACTCTTATTCACCAGATCTCACACACACACACTTTTCAAATGTGGAAACACTAATTGTTTAATAACTGATTATCACTAACCAATCATGGCTTTACTTAGGCCTGTAAATAGGTCAAAGGTCAGGTTCATTCCGCTGTGGCAACCCCTGATTAATCTAGTTCTGGCATTTGGTACTGACTTGTCTGATAAATATTATATTCCATCCTGTAGAAAATATTAATTTAAAGAGACCTTTGAGGAGTGTAGCCATTTCTGCTGAGCACTGTACATTCAATCATTTATAATTCAAACTGTGCTATACATGATGGAAACCATTCTTCAATTGTGTTCCAAAAACACAGTGAGTGAAGGATGGTCAGAGAGAGTGTGAAGGTAGCAAAGACTAAGTGTGTGATATATTAAACAAGCATAAGTTAACAAAAGAAATTACCAAATATGTCCTATATCATAGGTTGAATGTAACAATATACATCTCATTCAAACGGTCAATGTCCCATGTTGTCTCGTTAACCTAGTATACATGTTCAATCAACAATTTGCTGCTTTAATTATAAAATAAAGTATATTTGGAAGCATTTCATTCAATACTCAAAATACCGGAAATAGTCTTGTTAATGTATAATTGAGGTGGCTCTGAAAAGAGCCTTTGGGTTTTAATGCGTAAAAAGTAAGTTTAAGCGCGCTCTCCACGGATGCGGCGAGCCAGCTGGATGTCTTTGGGCATGATGGTGACCCTCTTGGCGTGGATGGCGCACAGGTTGGTGTCTTCGAACAGACCGACCAGATAAGCCTCGCTGGCCTCCTGCAGGGCCATGACAGCGGAGCTCTGGAAGCGCAGATCGGTCTTGAAATCCTGAGCAATTTCTCGGACCAAACGCTGGAAGGGCAGTTTGCGGATCAGCAGCTCAGTGGACTTCTGATAACGACGGATCTCGCGCAGAGCCACGGTGCCGGGCCTGTAACGGTGAGGTTTCTTGACGCCGCCGGTGGCAGGAGCGCTCTTACGGGCAGCTTTAGTGGCGAGCTGCTTCCTTGGAGCTTTGCCTCCGGTGGATTTACGGGCGGTTTGCTTAGTTCTTGCCATTGTCGGTAAGCAGATAAGTTACTCTCAGAAACTGAAGAGAAATGTGCTCGTACAAGCAGAGACAGCCTTTTAATCTCTCCCGCTGCAGCGGAGAGCGCCTCTGGAAGCGTGTCATTGGCTGTTGCTATTACGCCACAGTGTGACGTGGGCGTTCTGTCCAATGGCTCTACATTTCTTTTATCAAACAAACGAGTGACTACTGGCTGGTTTTCCCGCTCAAACAACATCAAGGATAAGTTCTTTTTGCATGCAGGAATGACGACATCACCATATACCTTCATTCTCTTGTAGATTTATTCATGAGGTAACTTTTTCATGTTCAATCCTTCGTGTAGAGTTTGAAAATAGGCTAAAAGATATGTAGACTTGTATGGAAAACTGAATGATTGTCAGATCAGTAAATGCTTCTAGTGGGAATGTGTTGGGAAGATAAGGTTCAAACAAATGTTATAAATCTTGTTCTGAATCATTAATTGTATTTTGGGCCTTAGTTAAATAACTACAGGCAGCCTCATTTGTGAACAAAAAATAAATTTTAATATTAACTTCAATTACATATTTCTTGTTCTGGTCGTGGTACGAGCGGTTTACCTTCGTTGTACAAAGTGTGTACACACTACAGTGTGATATTAATCATTAAATTCACTCAAACTGAGATAATTTGAATAATGCTCTTTACTATTATGTGGGTGGCTCTTAAAAGAGCCGTTTGGTTTGCGGAAGAATCGAGCAAAGACGATTACTTCTTCTTGGGAGCCGCCTTTTTAGGCTTCGCCGCCTTGGGTTTGGCGGTTTTGGGCTTGACGGCCTTCACCTTCTTGGGGCTCTTGGCTGCTTTCTTGGCAGCTGCTGGTTTCTTTGCCTTCTTGGGGCTCTTGGTCGCTTTCTTGGCAGCCGCTGGCTTCTTGGCTTTCTTGGGACTCTTGGTCGCCTTCTTCGCAGATGTGGCCGCCGGTTTCTTCACCTTCTTGGGAGATTTCTTCGCGGCGGGTTTCTTGGCAGCAGGCTTCTTGGCTTTTGCGGCAGTTTTCTTAGCAGCTTTCTTGGGCTCGGCTTGCTTCTTGTTCAGCTTGAATGAACCAGAGGCGCCAGTGCCTTTGGGCTGGACCAGAGTACCGTTGAGCACCAAGGCCTTGACTGCAGTTTTGACGCGGGAGTTGTTCTTTTCCACATCGTAGCCGCCGGCAGAGAGAGCCTTCTTCAGAGCTGCGAGAGACACGCCGTGTCTGTCCTTGGATGCGGTCACGGTCTTTACAATGAGGTCGCGGACATTTGGTCCCGCTTTCTTGGGCTTAGACGCAGATCTCTTCTTGGGAGCCTTTACCGGCGCGGGAGCTGGAGCAGTTTCAGCCATTTCTCTCTACAGTAACGTTCACACGTCGACAACAAACAGTGAATAATGAAGCTCTGGTGAGTGGCGCTGTGATCTTAACTGCCACATGAGAACCGTTTAGACTCAATGGCCACTCATCAGAGACTCTGAGCGCCTCTACCAAATAAATTGTGCTTTCTCTGTTTAATCACAGAGCAAAACAAGAGCCACAACACATTTTTCAGCAGATTAGAAACACTTTAGTGATAAGAAGAGAATCAATGGTTTGTCATGGACTTCAAAAGAGGAACGCTGTGAAGATATTTTGAGACTTATTGAGTCATTTGTCCTTTGCTCTTTTACTGAAATTGTTTTACTGTGCACACATGACTTGTGTTCAAAAAATCAAACATGATATGCAGCAAATATTAAAGTGTTTTTCATTTTAACCTCTTGATCTCATATAATTTGCCAATCGTTATCAAGCATATATATGCAATACATGATTTAGTGAGTTTTTAATGATGGTTTAGTACTTTAAAACACTGTGGCAGTGTGTAGCATGTTGAACACTCTCAGAAAAGGTACACTGTGGTACAAAAATTGTTTCCTAAGAAACAGTTTTGTACCTTTGCAAAAAAGTTTACCTTATAGCACAGAAAAGACCTCTTATGATACTGTTCTGTAACTTTTATGGTACAATTGAAATGGAGGTGCACAATTGTTCTTATAAAAAAGGTAATTTAATACAATATCTATGAAAATTAAAATGACTGGAAAGGCAAAGTGATTTATGAATAATTCCCATATTAAAACATGAATCATCATTTAAAAGCACATGCTTAAAAAACTCATGAACATGAATGATTAAGTTGTATAATAAAAAAACAACTGGTAAAACACAACTGTAGGTGTTGTAAATTAAACATTTAATGCATTTTTAATAAACGCTTGGTAAGCATTTTCTGATACACACATTTTCATTAATGATATCCACTATCAATTTGCTGTCCAATACACGCACATGAGCTGGCAAAAGTCCTGCATATGCAAAGTGTTTATGCAGTGATTTTAGTATTTTAAAACTGCATATCACATTACAATACTTTTGCATAATTATATTTTTCTTTTAAATTAAATAAACTTTTAGATGATAACAAAGGTATTGTGTGAACATTGGATAATTATTTTTTATATTGTACATGGGAGAATGCATTTCTGTAACATTTGTGGTGTTGTGAAATGTTTTGCAAAAATAGATCTTTTGATTGATGTTAAAGTATTTTTTATTCTTTATTGTAAATTGAAAATGTGCATTTACGCAAGAAGAATTTTTTTTTGTAAACGGAAACATTGTTTAAAAATTTAATTTGATGTTTTATATTTACTGAAAATAAACTGACACAATTTGGATAAAGCATAATGCCCCTAAATAGTTCTTGAAGGAACACATTTGACAATGTTAAGCTATGAAGTGTCTTGTTATTGTAGTGGCACCCTCATGGATCAGATACCTTTGTTGACTGTACAATATTGTATCTGCAGGTTTTAAAAAACATTTTGGTTTCCCATGGTACTAATCGTGTCCTTAAAGGTAGAAACTGCAATTGTGCAATTTTGTTCCATCAAAAGGTACCAGTGCACCAGTGACAAGGGTTTCTACTTCTTCGGTACACCATTGTACTATTTTTCTGAGTGTACATAATGAAAAACTTAATAAAATATAATCATCTAACTATTGACCTTGAAATCATGCTGTCCAAAGATGCAATTTGTCTTGTATACACAAAGGAAACAGTTGTTCTACAGCGTTTAAGCGGTAAATGTTTAACTTTAACCTTCAATGTGGATTATTATTTTATTTTTTTGCGTTTCATAAGTTATTCACTTACACTACAATTCAGTTAATTACATTGTTCTCAGAAAGCCTGGTCATTTCAATATACTAACTAACATCGCATAACTTTCCTAGATTAGACTAACAAAATAAAGTAGTACCCCACCATAGTAAAAAAATGTTTGGATTGCATTTCATAACTCTTAATTTTGGTGATTAACACACACAATGCATTTTTATTTACTCATTCTTTAATTTCTAAAATATCAGCCTCTACCAGATGGTTGATATGTCGATTTTAAAGTATTGGGCTTAAAACATGAAAGAATTTAGCATAAGACCAATAATATATTCAAAATAAAGTACTTTTGAATACTTATACATCTTTATTTTTCGATGTCATAATTTCTTTCAGATTCTCATTTAACATGCTTTTTTTTTCTTCACCAATAAAATCAAGAAGTGTTTAAGTGCACCAGAATGTTCTTCAAATGACTTCCAGGTAACATTTAAAATTGTAAAAACATGGTTAACTGTTTGGTAGAAGAGCGGAGTAAAAATAACTTCTCGATATATAAAAATAAAATTATAATTTGAACTGGGTTTCTACATTAAGCAAAATATTAGAATTTTCTAACTAAAACAATAAATTGACATATTTAGCACACGTTAAAAATCCTTGGTGAGGTTTACTGAATTCCTGAACACACAAAACAAAATGACTCTTTTGACGAGAACATGGGTGGCTCTTAAAAGAGCCTTTGGGGTAGGTGAGGATTCAACGCTTTACTTGGAGCTGGTGTACTTGGTGACGGCCTTTGTGCCCTCAGACACGGCGTGTTTGGCCAGCTCTCCGGGCAGCAGCAGACGCACGGCGGTCTGGATCTCTCTGGAAGTGATGGTGGAGCGCTTGTTGTAGTGAGCGAGACGAGACGCCTCACCGGCGATGCGCTCGAAGATGTCGTTGACGAAAGAATTCATGATGCCCATCGCCTTTGAGGAGATCCCGGTGTCGGGATGAACCTGCTTCAACACCTTGTAGACATAGATAGCATAGCTCTCCTTCCTAGTCCTCTTGCGCTTCTTTCCTCCTTTACCGGCGGTCTTGGTGACAGCTTTCTTGGAGCCCTTCTTGGGGGCGGTCTTGGCTGGCTCTGGCATGATTCTTTGAGATGAACGAAACGTCTCTATACTCTTCGTTGACGCACAGTGGTTATTTATACGGCTTGTATGCAAATTTTAGAAGGAAAGCTCCACCCTGTTTGATTTGTGTATTGATGCAATGCATACGTGACACTGTTTTCATTGGCCAGAAAGCAGCTGGCTTTCGGCCAGTTTAGCCAATAGTGTGCTTCGATACTGTAGTCTCCACCCACGAGAAACCTCCTAGATTTCAGATTCATTGTTTAACTTTCCCGCTCAAAATTACATTCTGGCTTAACATTTGCATCTTTAAACAATTTTTTTTATTTATGAGAATAATAAAGTCAGCAAATAATACCAAAATGTTTCTGGTAAGCGCATCATAAATTATATCAAATGTAATTTTATAGTTTTTTTTTGTTTGTTTGTTTTGTTTTATTAAGGCAGCTCACACCGTAAGATCTGTTCTTATTTTATTTATAATATTTTTACTAGGATATTTACATATTATATCAGAAAAAGGAAAAAAGGTTATGCCTATGCAATATTTACAATTGATTTTATTTCTAATTCTTTTTTAAAAAGAGCTGTGAAAATAATTATATAATTAAATTATACTTAAAGTGATTATTAACAAAACATCAGAATGTATAAAAATTATAACATCTAAAAATCATTATAATTTCTTTTCTATATTTATTATTGTTGAATTTTTTTTATTTTTCTGGCAAAAAAAAGTCACAAAACCTGCTGATGCTACATTTATTACAATACAAAATGTACGCGGAGATCTTTGCGACCACCTAAATATAATTCTAACTTGATTATTTTAGAAAATGGGTTCTTACGTTTATCATCTGAACAAAATTAATTGCTTTTGGGGAGAAAAATGTTTGAACGTGAATCTAATGTACGAGTCAATGGTTAACTCGATGTTAAGTTTTTTGAGGATGAAAGTCAGTGGATTAGTTATCGGCTCTCAACAGGTAGCAAAAGGTTTCTTGAATCTTTCAGTAAAAATTATAAAATAGAAAGCATTAAACAAGTAATGTTTCCAAAAATAATTCCGATGTTAAACTTTAAAATATAAATTGATACTTTAAAATGTGCCCTTTCTTTAAAAAAGTGTGTGGCTCTTAAAAGAGCCTTTGGTTTAAGATGGAGCAAAGAAATTCAACCTCCGAAGCCGTACAGAGTGCGACCCTGTCTCTTCAGCGCGTACACAACATCCATGGCGGTCACGGTCTTTCTTTTGGCGTGCTCGGTGTATGTAACAGCATCACGAATCACATTCTCCAGGAACACCTTAAGAACACCACGAGTCTCCTCGTAGATCAGACCAGAGATACGCTTGACTCCACCACGGCGAGCGAGACGACGGATGGCTGGTTTGGTGATTCCCTGGATGTTATCACGCAAAACTTTGCGATGACGCTTGGCGCCTCCTTTTCCAAGTCCCTTACCGCCTTTGCCTCTTCCAGACATGATGAGAACTGAAGCTTTGACAATTTGAAATCAAACTCCTCCCAGTCTGAGCCTCAGCGTGGACTTTACAGTTGCTCAGCGGACCTAGTTGAAACATGCAAAGGCGGAGTCATGCAACGTCACAATAATGCAAGTCATTGTAGCCCGGAACTTAATTTGAATTGTTCGGTTTAACCTCGGCACATTAAATTACTTTTTTCCCCTTACATTTCTTAGCTTTTATAGGACATCTGATGAATCGGTACCGTTGACCGAGAGAAAAATCCAGTGGTCATTTAGATCCCATGAAAATCCCCTGTTAAATGACAACGAATATTACAGCCTTGATAAAATAATAAACTGAACTATGGATATAATCTATTGCAGTGCAAGCAAAAATTGTGATAAAGTAATTCTCCAAATCAAGCTACATGTGAATAATTAGATTGTAAACGGTTAAGTATCAAACCACTTATAACTTAAATTCTTTTAACTGAGCCTATGACATGTTAACTATTAACTATTATTATTAAACATAAGTATAAAAAATACTAAAAAATAACTTCTGGTACCCACAAATACATTACTGTACTTTAATTTTTATATATACTTTTGATAATGATATTTACTTTTAATTTTATATATACTTTTAAATAGTCCAAACAACAAGAACATCTTTAACATAATTGCCCTGTGATGGGGTGGTATCTGATGTGACAGTTGTTTGCTATTATGTACAAAGCATTTCTTAAACTGCTGACTTTTTGCATCTTTAAAAAAAAGTTTAAAGTTATTTAACCAGTGTACTACCTTTCAAACAGTGTGATTAGTAAAGTTTAAAATGTTTTTTTTGGGGTTAATGAAAATGAAATTGTGCAAAACATTGTTGTGGTCCATCATACCCCCATGATCCAATGTCTATAGCATTCTTATATGTAATGTTTATACTATTATAAGTTTATATACTATTATAATTAGTATTACTTTTTTTTTGCTATAACAAAGAAAGTACTTTATTTGTAGCATCCTTTCGCACATTCTAATCCTAGATCTATTTTAAATAAACACATACACACACCAAATGTACACCATTATGAAACTGTTACAAATTAGGATTGCTTTTTACTTTTATTCATACAGTGCACATCATGAATGAGTCCACCCCATTTTGAAAAAAAAAAAAATCTTATTTTTATCAAATTCTAAATCAATATAGATTACATGTTGTGGCGGTATTTAAACAAAAGTTTTAAAATATATAGTTTTAAGGGGTTGGTCACCTAACATCTCTAGAAGTTTAACAGTTTAAATTCAACTAAATATTGCAAAAAAAGAGAAAAACTACAAACTTTAAACAAAAATGTAATATATTTTTGGTTTCTTTTGATTTTTCCTAACCTGTCTTACATTTTTTTTTGTTAGACTGTTACCCTTGATGGAATCAGATTTCTAAATAAATCAATTTATATTAGACAGACAGTGATGAATGGACAAAGTTTGCGTAAAAGAAGCAGTAAGGACTAAACGCATCAGACCAAACAGTTAAAATATCTTAAAATTATAGAACAAATTGATTAGTCTATATTAGAATCTTTAATTTCATACAACCTCATATTAAAATAAGATGCAGAAATCACCCCACCACAATAAAATGTATCGCCCATATCTCCCATTTGTTCAAGTTCCTCTCCGAGTAAACAATCGTATATATGATTAGTGGAATGTGTCATTGCTTTTTCTACATACCAAATTAGTTGACTCAGTATCTACCAAGCTTAGTGGTGTACATAAGCAACAGGACTTAAAGACTGGTTTTTATATATACTCCAAAATATATAATATAGATAAAGTTATTCGTATAAAGTATACTAATAAGTATAACGTATAAAACAATAATAAACGTGGCTGGTTAGTACTCTGGTAGAGCGAAACACACTTTTTTAGGACTTTATCTCTTTGTATGACATCGTGGGTGGCTCTTAAAAGAGCCTTTGGGTTAGCTGAAGTTGATTCAGCGTTTTACTTTGAGCTGGTGTACTTGGTGACGGCCTTTGTGCCCTCAGACACGGCGTGTTTAGCCAGCTCTCCGGGCAACAGCAGGCGCACGGCGGTCTGGATCTCTCTGGATGAGATGGTGGAGCGCTTGTTGTAGTGAGCGAGACGAGACGCCTCACCGGCGATGCGCTCGAAAATGTCGTTGACGAAAGAGTTCATGATGCCCATCGCCTTCGAGGAGATCCCGGTGTCGGGATGGACCTGTTTCAACACTTTGTAGACGTAGATGGCATAGCTCTCCTTCCTGGTCCTCTTACGCTTCTTACCGCCCTTCCCTGCAGTCTTTGAGACGGCTTTCTTAGAGCCCTTCTTGGGCGCAGGCTTTGCTGGTTCTGGCATGTTGTTAAAACAGTTGAAGCAACTAAACCTACAAATGCTTGTGAGACACTTTATACACCCTACATGCAAATCAGCTGCGGTTGTCGTGCACCAAAGAACGCCAATCACAGTCATCAAATATTAACTCCGCCCACTAATTTAATCCCACCCCAAAAATTTTAAACCGCAACCCAAACCGTTCTTGTTTAATTTCCCCGCCTATTTTTTAATTTTTAACTACAAAGATCCAGCTTACGCTCATTTAACTATAGAAAATATAGGCCCACATATAAAACCGCTTACTCATCCAGGTAGTTTTAAAGAAGGGCACAATTTTGATCCACTCCCACCTTTAAAGATGTGTGCTTAATAGTTTTAGGATAAGTTGGACAAAAAGTCTTGCCCTTCAATTGCCAACTAATGTATTGGAAGTAACTGTAAAAAAAACAAAGTACTATAATCAAGTAACAGTAGATCATGACAGTTCTCATTTTTGGGTGACCAACATATCTATAGAACGTTGTAAACTGTTAAATTACAGTAATCTGGGACATTAATTTAACTACAGTTAAAATGAGTACCTCAACTGCAATAATAATCCTTTTATCATTGATTGTAACTTTGATTTGGGCTCAAAATGGGCATTACTGTAATGTCAAATTGTATGGCTGTAATTTCCAAGTAATTTACTGTCAATAAAAACTCACTGACATTAAATGGGAGTGTGTGAACATTGTAAAGTTAGAAGTGATAGAACATCATATATCTGATTGTTGGACACAATACAGAAATTTAGAATATGCATCAAGAATTATTGCGAGCATTATTGTTCATGGGTATTGTTACATTTTTGTCCCTTTTCCAGGTGTACGGAGACAAAAGTAACAAAAAAAAATAATAATTTGGATCGAATTAATAATAAATTAATATTTAATAATGTGCGTGGAAAATCTCCTTTTTCTCTATCCCAGCATACGTTCACTTTAGATATAATAATAACAAAAAAAACTCTCAAAAGAGATTTCAAAAGAAAAATATTATCTTTTATTCACTGTTCAACAAAATTCAATATTTTTTTTACATTTCCAGACAGGGTAAACAAAAACAAAGAGATACTTACATGAATATTATCCTAACCAAAATCATTATGAGAGGGTAAGGCCAAAAATAACCAACAAAACAAAAGCTTCCTAAATTGACAAAAAGTTCTAGATTTCCTAATATATATATATATATATATATATATATATATATATATATATATATATATATATATATATATATATATATATATATATAGAAAACTCAAAATCAATGACAATGCTCTTAGCCCATAACAGGAAACTTAAAGGATAAACAAATAAATCAGCACTCGTTTCTCTACACGGCTTACTTTTCACATAAAGTTACACGTCACACTTATTCACACTAATCTCACAAGATTCACAAGCTCACAGTTCTCAATATCCAACAAAAATCTCTATCACACTATAATCACTGGGTTAGGGAAAACAGGGACTCTCTCCGTGCTTTGCCGCTCTGCCTCTTTATAAAGCCTGGAAGCTCAATCAACAGCAACCGATCCGATTTGCTCTGATTGAAAACAGGTGCGGCTGGTTTGGAACGCTGCTCAATGAGAGAGAGGCAGAGAGACAGAGAGAGAGATAGAGAGAGAGAGCGATTAATAAAACAAAAGGAAGAGCAATAAGCTGCCACTCACACCAACAACTTATTACCTAAATACATCATAGGATGTAACAGTATAGATAAGGATATTTTTTCACTGACTAAATGACCAGCAGGTACGTTTGACTTTTTGTTTCTTGAGTCTCCAGACACAAAACTTCACGATGAGTCAACAAGGCTGCTGTTGTTTGACTAACATTTTACAATGATTAGCAGGATAAGGGCTCAACATGCACCTACACTTGAACTTTTTCATTTATTATATGGCCTAATTGTATTACTTTAAGGGAACGTTTAACTGCATATACACTTTTATAGATGCTGTAAACAATACATGAGCCTTTATCATTCTTATGACATTTAAGTCCAGATACTAATAAATTAAACTTTCGGCAATGAGCAAGAAAAATCATCTTTTCTAGACACATTGATGTGGCTCTTAAAAGAGCCTTTGGTTTTAATTTAAACGTCAGAAAGTGGTTTAGGCGCGCTCTCCACGGATGCGGCGAGCCAGCTGGATGTCCTTGGGCATGATGGTGACCCTCTTGGCGTGGATGGCGCACAGGTTGGTGTCCTCGAACAGACCGACCAGATAAGCCTCGCTGGCCTCCTGCAGAGCCATGACGGCGGAGCTCTGGAAACGCAGATCGGTCTTAAAGTCCTGGGCGATTTCTCGGACCAGACGCTGGAAGGGCAGTTTGCGGATCAGCAGCTCGGTGGACTTCTGGTAGCGACGGATCTCGCGCAGAGCAACGGTGCCAGGCCTGTAACGGTGAGGTTTCTTGACGCCGCCGGTGGCCGGAGCGCTCTTGCGGGCAGCTTTAGTGGCGAGCTGTTTCCTAGGAGCTTTCCCTCCGGTGGATTTACGAGCGGTTTGCTTGGTTCTTGCCATTGTCTGTGACGAGCTGAGTTATCCTATAGGACTGTAAATTCCGCGCATTGAGACAGCCTTTTAACCTCTCCTGCTGCATTGTGTGATGCCTGTAGAAGCATTTGATTGGCTATTGCATTTACGTCGCAATATGACGTAAGCAGTCTGACCAATGGCTATGCATTTCTTTTTTTAAACAAACTAGTGACAACCGAGCCTTTCCCGCTCAAAAATATTTTATTTATTTAATATAACTTCTCTTTGATCGCAAAGAAATGGCGACATTAACATATGTTATTTTTTTATAGATTATATCTAACTTTATCGAGTTCAATTCTTACTATTTTGTGTAGTTTGAAAATAAGCAAACAGAAGTGTAGACTTGAATGAAAAACAGCATTGTATTGTAAGTCTTTAATTACATAACGAGGGTTTTTTCTCGTTGAGGAACAAAAAACAAATGCTTTTAAAATTAAATTTACTTACACCTTCCCTCTGCCATTTTTCAGCTTATGTGGTTTATGCTGTTTCAAACAAGTACAGTATGTATATACCACAGTAGGCTATATGAGTTAAGACCAGGAAAACTATCGTTAATCCTTAAATGCTTTGCTCAAGTTTAAGTAATTTGAATAATGCTCTTTACTAATATGTGGGTGGCTCTTAAAAGAGCCGTTTGTTTTTCGGGAAAATCGAGCAGAGACGATTACTTCTTCTTGGGAGCCGCCTTTTTAGGCTTCGCCGCCTTGGGTTTGGCGGTTTTGGGCTTGACTGCCTTCACCTTCTTGGGGCTCTTGGCTGCTTTCTTGGCAGCTGCTGGTTTCTTTGCCTTTTTGGGGCTCTTGGTCGCCTTCTTTGCAGCTGCAGGCTTCTTGGCTTTTTTGGGGCTTTTTGTCGCCTTCTTCACGGATGTGGCCGCCGGTTTCTTCACCTTCTTAGGAGACTTCTTAGCAGCGGGTTTCTTGGCAGCCGGTTTCTTTGCTTTCGCTGCAGTTTTCTTGGCTGCTGGCTTCTTCTTGGGCTCGGCTTGCTTCTTGTTCAGCTTGAATGAACCAGAGGCGCCTGTGCCTTTGGGCTGGACAAGGGTGCCGTTGAGCACCAAGGCCTTGACGGCGGTTTTAACGCGGGAATTGTTCTTTTCCACATCGTAGCCGCCGGCAGAGAGAGCCTTCTTCAGGGCTGCGAGAGACACGCCGTGTCTCTCCTTAGATGCGGTCACGGTCTTGACAATAAGGTCGCGGACATTTGGTCCCGCTTTCTTGGGCTTAGACGCAGATCTCTTCTTGGGAGCTTTTGCCGGAGCGGGAGCTGGAGCGGTTTCAGCCATTTCTTTCGGAGCAGGAGCGTTCAGACGTCGACAACTAACAGTAAACAATGAAGCTCTGCAGAGCGGCGCTGTGATTTAACTGTTACATGAGAACCGTGTAGACTCATTCGCCAGTCATTGGAGACTAAAGCGCCTCTACCAAATAAATTGTGCTTTCTCTTTTTAAACACAGAGCCAAACAAGAGCCACAAAACGTATTTCAGCAGATTAGAAACACTTTAGTGATAAGAAGAGAATCAATAGTTTTTCATGGAATTCAAAAGGGAGACGCTGTGATGATATTTTGAGACTTATTGATTCATTTGTCCTCTGTTCTTTCACTGTAATAGTTTAATTATGCATATACGACTTGTGAAAAAACTAACATGATGTGCAGCAATAGTCATTGGTTTTGTTTAGTTTAAGCCCTTGATCTAATATCTTTTGCCAATTGCCTAGAAGTAAATACATGTTTTAGTATTTTTTACGATGTGCCAGGGTTTTAAAACATGGCACCATGTTTAGCAAACTGTACTGATAATGTAAAATCAGTAAAGAAGCGATCGTCCGCAGTTTGTTATGTTCATTATAGTTATTGATGGCATATACAACATACATTGTAGTACAATCAAAAACAGATTAGTATAATGCGTTGTCTAGGCAGTCTGCTGTCCAAAGACATAAATCACCAATCAAAGGAAATAGTGTCAATCTATTCTAGTGTTTATGTAGCAAATGTTTAAACTTGACTACTAAGGTAAAAAATATATATATGATCTATAAATCACATGCACTATCAAATAATGATTGTGTTCTCAGAAAATAACGTTTTATTAATTCAGTCTAAAACAAGATAACAGAGTTTAAAAAATATATCTAGAATAGTCTTAAATTAACATTAAAAATAAATTTTACTCATGTTAAATTGCCATTGAATATACCTTTACCTCACTAGTCTGTATTATAACCAGCCTTCGTGTAATTTAAATCATGTTTTACTTTGACCACAAGAATTAGCTCTTTAGAGGAGAACATGGGTGGCTCTTAAAAGAGCCTTTGGGGTAACTGAAATTGATTCAGCGCTTTACTTGGAGCTGGTGTACTTGGTGACGGCCTTTGTACCCTCAGACACGGCGTGTTTGGCCAGCTCTCCGGGTAGCAGTAGACGCACGGCGGTCTGGATCTCTCTGGAAGTGATGGTGGAGCGCTTGTTGTAATGAGCGAGACGAGACGCCTCACCGGCGATGCGCTCGAAGATGTCGTTGACGAACGAGTTCATGATGCCCATCGCCTTGGAGGAAATTCCGGTATCGGGATGAACCTGCTTCAATACCTTGTAGACGTAGATAGCGTAGCTCTCCTTCCTAGTTCTCTTACGTTTCTTTCCTCCTTTACCGGCGGTCTTGGTGACGGCTTTCTTGGAGCCCTTCTTAGGGGCTGCTTTTGCTGGTTCAGGCATGACGGTTTCGAGTAGATGTAAGCAAGTCTATTCTTCACCAACATGCACACTGGCTATTTATGCGGCTCTTATGCAAATTTCACAAGGTAATAACTGCCCTCTCGGATTTGTGTATGAGCGCAATGAATGTAGGTCACTCATTTCATTGGTCAGAAAGCAGACCGGCTTGCTGGCAAATTAGCCAATAGTAAGTCTCGAAAACCGTCGTCACGCCTATTGTCCAACCCATAAGAGATTTCCGCATAGCAATCGGATCCTTTGTTTATTTTCTGATCAAGATCAAACTTGGTATTTTTTTGTATCGATTTATTTGTATTTTATGGGGGAAATACAGCGAATTAAGAGTTACCAGATTGGTCGGTTTTGAAACGGCGTGGCCGCCAGCCTCGGTCTTCACTTATAAACCTGTCTTGATCCCTCAAAGAGTTGCCACAGCCACTGTTCCCCACATACAAACGCTTACAACAGTTGTGACCTCCCAACGAGACACACCACCACAGGTTTGTTTTGTTTTAAACAGGACAGTTTTTACATATATATCTTAACTAAAGTTCAGCAGAAAACAAATAAAAATCCCTTAAATGCCAATATAATATTAAGCGGTGCATAAAATGGAACTTAATGCACTCAATATAATAATTGCTTTGCTGCCTTTTTAAAATATGATATATATATATATATATATATATATATATATATATATATATATATATATATATATATATATATATATATACATATATATTTTTTTTTTTGTCTGAAAGATGTGCCACTACACCATCCGTATTTGTGTTATAAATATATTTTTCATGTGGGATTAAATAATCTTTTTAATAACGTAATTACAACATAATTTATTCCACACTTTCACACGTATTTGTAGTTTATAGCATTTAATATCTAAAAAAAAATTAATCTTATATTTAAACTGTAACAAAACAATGGCAGGAGTTTGCAAAGAGGGAGGGTCTTGCGATTCGGAGGGAAGTGCGGTGATTGGTTTTCAACTGATAGAGATTCTGATCAATAGGCGGGAAGTACGTTAGCTTTAAAAGCTGATTGTCGAGCTTCAGAACATCGTAGTCTTTGAGAACTGTCTGAGCAACATGAGCGGAAGAGGCAAAACCGGCGGAAAAGCCAGAGCGAAGGCTAAGAGTCGCTCCTCCAGGGCAGGACTTCAGTTTCCCGTTGGCCGTGTTCACAGGCTTCTCCGCAAGGGTAACTATGCTCAGCGTGTTGGTGCCGGTGCTCCAGTCTACTTGGCCGCTGTGCTCGAGTATCTGACCGCTGAGATCCTTGAGTTGGCTGGAAACGCCGCTCGGGACAACAAGAAGACCCGTATCATCCCCCGTCACCTGCAGCTGGCGGTACGCAATGACGAGGAGCTGAACAAGCTTCTGGGCGGAGTGACCATCGCTCAGGGCGGTGTGCTGCCCAACATCCAGGCCGTGCTGCTGCCCAAGAAAACCGAGAAGGCCGCCAAAGGCAAATAAATTAGCTTGATTTCCATTTTGTATTTCCCCAAAGGCTCTTTTAAGAGCCACCCACTTGTTCTTTAAAGGGCAATAAAACATACAAATTTAATATGATAATGAAAGCTATTATGATTTGTTTTCAAAATACAATGTTGGATTTGGTTAGTTGAGAAAACATTTAGATCAACTGGAGTTATAACAATTAAAACTATTATGAGTTAAGTTTGCAATGTAGAGACTAAACGATTTATGATACTAATAGTTAAAAAAGATTAATAGGAAAAGATGATGCGCTTATCTCCTTTAATTTCAATAAATCGAGTAACAAAGCTTTTTATGTATCTTTTCAAAATTAAAGGTGGTCAATCTTCTCTTCAATCCCAATTCATAAACTGGAGTAATTTTAAAAAGGTTTTGTATGTGTGGGTGATTTTATGAATGATTTAGGTTACCTCAACTATACAACTGTTTGCAAAATAATTTTATATTCATCACACAAATGTGCATGCTTAGCAATTAATATATTTTTGAATGACAATTTATTGTATGAAACGTGTCATTGATTTAAGCTTCCTCTTTTAATAAACGGTTAATTTTATTCTTCTTTAATATGTATTTATTGTTATTTCAATGCTTAAATAGACTTTTTTAAATAAAGGTAAACATTGACTCAAATTTAAATAATTACAAGATTTTAATCTTGTTTTTGGATTTGTTTGACCTCAACTGTACAGAATTAAATTTACAGTTCAGTTTTATGTTAGACTTAAAATTTCATATTTTTTAAACACTTAATTTTTTCATAATTATATTATGTATGATCAGCCCAAATGACTAATTAAACTCAGATATATCTCTTTAAAAGTTATTTTAAAGTTAATTCCTTTAAAATTAAATTTCTTTTACTACATATTATGCAGGATGCAATATTTAGGTGGCTAATTCAGAATATATATAAATATATTATTGATTTATTGCTATTAAATAAAGTATCTGTGGAGGCTAAAATTGTGTAAATTAAATACATGCATTTGTACATTTGATAGTTTAATGACAAATTTTGAAAAATTATAATTACATACTAAAAAAGGGGAGATCAGGTTCAGAAAAAAAACAAAGAAAATAATTTTCCATATTGACTCAGAATAATGGCACAAGCAATTTATCTAAATATATAATTAAAAGAAGCTATTTCGAAGGACGGGGGCCAGAGTTCGTTGGATTGACGCGCCTAGGTGTGACGTAAAGTTGTAACTCCGCCTTTACTGTTTCAACTAGGTCGTCTGAGCGACTATAAAGCTTCTAGGATGCTGCACTAGACGGTTCATTCAAATTTGAAAGTTGATTGTTACTAAACATGTCTGGAAGAGGCAAAGGCGGTAAAGGACTTGGAAAAGGAGGTGCTAAGCGTCACCGTAAAGTTCTGCGTGATAACATCCAGGGAATCACCAAACCCGCTATCCGTCGTCTCGCTCGCCGTGGTGGAGTCAAACGTATCTCTGGTCTGATCTATGAGGAGACTCGTGGTGTTCTTAAGGTCTTTCTGGAGAATGTTATCCGTGATGCTGTTACGTACACCGAGCACGCCAAGAGAAAGACCGTGACCGCCATGGATGTTGTGTACGCGCTGAAGAGACAGGGACGTACTCTGTACGGTTTCGGAGGTTAAACGTGTTTATTATCATAGAAAACAACGGCTCTTTTAAGAGCCACCCACGTTTTCATAAGAGAGTAATTTGAGAGTATTATGAATTTATATGTTCCATTATCATTAACCTGTACAGAATTTGCATTGATAAACATTTTTTGATAGCGGGCGTTATTAAAAAGCTGCATTTTTGTTCGTAACAAAGTCTCAAATTGTTTATAAGGCTTAAGTTAAGAGCATAGAATTTAAACTTTTCCCTATAAGACGCAAATTAATGACACCAAAAAGTGAGCCATGTTTGGTCCTGAGTGGGAAGATAAAACAAACAATCCGATTGCTGTGCGGAAGTCTCTCATGGATTGGGCAATAGGCGGGACTACGGTGTCAAGACTTACTATTGGCTGACTTGTCAGTAAGTCTGTCTGCTTTCTGACCAATGAAATTAGTGGCCTACATTCATTGCGCTCATACACAAACCAGAGAGGGCAGTTCTTACCTTAGAGAATTTGCATAAGAGCCGTATAAATAGCCAGTGTACATCTCATTTAAGCAGAGTTGCTCAGTTACACTCGAATCTAATATGCCTGAACCAGCGAAAGCAGCGCCCAAGAAGGGCTCCAAGAAAGCCGTCACTAAGACCGCCGGTAAAGGAGGAAAGAAGCGTAAGAGGACCAGGAAGGAGAGCTACGCTATCTACGTGTACAAGGTTTTGAAGCAAGTTCATCCCGACACCGGAATCTCTTCAAAGGCGATGGGCATCATGAACTCGTTCGTCAACGACATCTTCGAGCGCATCGCCGGTGAGGCGTCTCGTCTCGCTCACTACAACAAGCGCTCCACCATTACTTCCAGAGAGATCCAGACCGCCGTGCGTCTGCTGCTGCCCGGAGAGTTGGCCAAACACGCCGTGTCTGAGGGCACAAAGGCCGTCACCAAGTACACCAGCTCCAAGTAAAGCGCTGAGTCATCTTCAGCTAACCCAAAGGCTCTTTTAAGAGCCACTAATGTTATTTTAAAAAGAGTTTCCGTTATTTGAGCATTGCATATTTTGCTTTAACCTTTACAGAAGCGTTTATTTTGAAACTGATTTATTAATTACCGTGATTTATATAATATGAAGTGTGTGTATGTGTGTATATATATGTGTGTGTGTGTGTGTGTATATATATATATACACACACACACACATACATACATGTTTTAAATGACTGATCTTTTGTATGCTGGCGAATAGCGTAGTCTATTTTGTCTTGATGTAAAGCAACTGTAAACATGAGTAACATAAAAATAAGAAATCTAATTTTATACGTTTGTGTTCTTCTTTTACACATTGCTCTGTGATAAGAAGCCTGTTGAGGCAATATGTTTTTATTTATTTATTTATTTTTTAATCTCATTCATGATCATTAATCTGCAGACTGGCTCCAAATACAGAATGTGGCCAGGATGATCGTTTTACCTTCACTTTTCCAACCTGAGTGTAATGAAGCAGAGAAGTGCAATAGAGTTACTGGTTCTGTTCTGACAGGTAGCACCTCCACTGTTATGCAGTAATCTAAGATTGTTCTTGCATGTCCATCAGGTATAGTTGGACTTGTTTATTTTTGCATATCAGTGTATGATCTTAACACATTGTTAGCAGTGTTGTGCACTTCACATTTCACTACAGTTTTCACATTTGATTTAAAACGTGGTGTTCTTAAAAGGGTAGTTCTCCCAAAAGGGATTTTTTTGAAGTTTTGCTTACCTTGGTTTTAAAATCGTTCAAGTTTATTTTTATTTTTATTATTTTTTTATTGATAATAATTTAAGTTATATAGTGGAAAGCTGAGAACCTGTAACCATTGACTCTTTTAGTTTGTTATGGGGTCTCAGTGGTTACTGGTTTCCAACTTTATTCAAAATATCTTCTTTTGTGCTTAACCGAAACAAGAAACTTATAGAGGTTTGAAACTACTTGAGGAAGAGTAAATAGAGTAAATGTTCATTTTGGATGAACTTCCCCTTTAAATATGATATTGGGCCTTACTTGATGGTCATTCTGTTGATGGGATTATTTTGATTCGCCGTTAAAGTGTCAATGTGAAGAATGAAACATCACTGCAGCATCACACAACACAAAATGACTGAATGGACATTCAGTGTGGGTGAATTTTACTTGTAACGAATGTATTTAAATAATCTTAAGTATTTATTAAGTGACACATTAATGACTTCAGCTGAAATCAGCAATAACTAACAATACATTTACAATAAATGAAATAGCTGTTGTTTGTTTTCTTCTGTGATCAGATATATCTTGCTTTCCGAGCAATTATGTCAGTCATACTGGGTACAATTTTACAAATAACTTCTGTTTGTTTTTTATTATTCAGGTGTAACTTTGTTGCATTAGCTTTGCTGTATTGTAGTGTTATTTGTTTTCTCATATGTCTTTTATAACCAGCATCGCTTTTATCAGTATTTACACCACTGTTGCTCTTTACGTTACTTAATATTTTACCTTATCTTAAAGTATAGGTAAAATAAGTTTCTGTTAAGTTGTTCTTGTAATTGGAGATTTTTAGTTTTCTATGTCAATAAAACACTAAAGATTTAATTTGGAGGAAAAAAAATATTCCATGCTCAAAATATAAACTATTGTAGGTCTTTTTTTAGGGATTTTGTCATAATAATCGCGCAGTTCTTGCCGTTTACCGAATAAGTTGTGACCGTTAAGTTCTGATCTGGTTGCATATCAGTTGTGGCTGACGTGCGGGTCAATATAAAGTTGTGGCTTGTTTAGTTTTTTTTTGTTTTTAGCCTTGGTTTGATCGACTACATTTGGACGAACCATGAGATGGAATTTAATTGAGTTATAGATGTGAGTATGGCCCACATACCACATGAAATTATTCAAAGTTTATTTTCATTCAATCATTTTCTTTTCGACTTAGTCCCTTTATTAATCAGGGGTCGCCACAGCAGAATGAACCGCCAACTTATTACAGCATATGTTCAATGCAGCGGATGCCCTTTCAGTCGCAACCTATTACTGGGAAACATCCATACACTCTCATACACACACATCCACTACGGACATTTTTCACCTAATACCAACGCATGTCTTGGGACTCGTGGGGGAAACTGGAGCACCTGAGAAAACCCACGCCAACACGGGAGAAAAGTCAAACTCCACACAGAAATGCCAAAGGGACCAGTCAAGGTTCAAACCAGCGACCCTCTTGCTGTAAGGCGACTGCACTACCGCACTGCCCGTTTGTTATTTTTACAACTAAAAATAAAATAGCTAAAGTAATTTGAAGTAAGTTAAACGTGTTGGTTCCAGTGTAGCTAAACTTGTATTGAACCCAGTGTTATATCCTGAAGTATTTTAAACCGAGTTGCACTGGTTATAAGTCGGCATTACTTCCCTTTTGTGGGAAAAGTATTGGACAAGAACAGTCAAATTTATTTTGGTACTGTTTAATTCTGATTAAAAATAGTAATAATTGTCAAAGTTAAGTGTTTTGTTATTGTTGATGTTGCACTTGTAGGCTAATTAGCAACCGCAGTTTTGTATTATTCGGCGCTTCCGCCGGAAATTAGTCTCTTGTAAACGCGGGCAGAAGTGACAGTAAAGTGTTTTTAAATGCGGATATTTTCATACAAAGCGCATTAATTTGCAACTGAAGTTGTTTGTTCACCCCCTTGAGCTGCGTGAGGCATGTTCTAGTTGGCTGTGTGCGCTGTTTTTACCTTGGACTGAAGAACTGTAACACCTCCTGACTGCCATTTTAAAGCAAGACCACAGACAAGTGTAAATAAAGCTCCGAATGTTTTCAACGCAAAGAAGAAAGCCATACACCTGGGATGCCTTAACGGTGAGTAGCTTAAATCTTTGGCTGTTTTTCATTTTTGGGCAACTTACTATTTAATAAATACTGCAATAGTCCAAAAGAAAGCCTATTTAAAAAAAAGAGAGAGAAATAAGGAAATTGTAGACAGACATAGATTCAGGTGTTCAGTTGATTTCAACATGCTTTCATTATGTTACATTTCCAAAACCAGTATATTATTGGTGATGTACAATATTGCAGAAGTTTGCACTTCTTTGAGACAAACAAAAAAAGGGTCTAAGCTCCAAAGGTTGCCTATAAATCCATTTAAAACTTGGGCTATAGAGTGATTTACCTACGTCTGTACCATCCAAACGTCACTAACAAAATGAACAAATCAATCAATTAATCAAATGAACAAATTGCTTATCCAACGTTCCTCACATAGGGTGACACAGTGGCTAAGTGGTTAGCACTGACACCTCACAGCAAGAAGGATGCTGGTTTGAGTCCCGGCTGGCTCAGTTGGCATTTCTGTGTGGAGTTTGCATGTTCTCCCCGTGTTCCTGTGGGTTTCCTCCGGGTGCTCTGGTTTCTCCCACAGTCCAAACACATGCACTATTGGTGAATTAAATAAACTAAATTTACTGTAGTGTATGTATGTAAATGAGTGTGTATGGATGTTTTCCAGTACTTTGGCTGGAAGGGCATCCGCTGTGTAAAACATATGCTGGATAAGTTGGAGGTTAATTCCGCTGTGGTGACCCCTGATGGCTAAGCCGAAGTGAAAAAATTCCCCACATTTCAGGATGCAGCATGTATGCAATCCGGTTCAAGAGGATTTCAGGACTGAAGCATATCTAGGATTGACTTTAGAAAGCATAGCATTCATTGCACATTTATTATATGTCTGCACACAATGACAAAACCAAACACATAAACGGCACACTTAGTTTTATTCTTTATTTCAGTTTTCAAATGCATATAAATAGTTGGTTAAGATCATAAAATAACATTCTATAAAGCATATAAAAGCAGATACATCTATACATTGTCGGAACACAAAACCAATATTGCTGTGATGTCCCATCACCATCAAAAGTGCCTCGAAGAACAATAAATCTCCCTCAGTAAAATACACATATATTCTTTTTAGGTGGTTAAACAAAACAGAATTAGGTGGATATACCCATTTAATTATTATTAAACTTAAATTGTCACCCTTACAATAAACAGCATCCGAAACAGTATTAAAATACACTTGCGTCAAACAGGGTAGCATTAAATAAAAGTCATTAGCCTCTGAAATAAGATTCAGTCTTAAAATAAGCCTTTTACTCCACATTCTTTTCCCTGGATTAAGCTTTTTTTCTGAATTAGAAACTCTAAGCGTTTGACTTTGTGTTTAAGGAGCGCTTACATGGAAAGGACTCCCTGGTATAGTTTCGTCCCCCCATTTAACAATCACTACATAGTTTCCTTTCTCCTTCACGGTGTAGGTCACGTTGTAAAGCTTGTTTCCCATATGCTTGACTGTCACATCTTCACATGGAGTTCTAGGACCGTGGACACCAACCATGAGCATGTTTGTACCTGAAAGAAAGAAAGAAAGAAAGAAAGAAAGTAAGAAAGACTTTGCATAATTAGGGTGACAATCTTTGGCATGGGTGTTAAATCCAGTTCCTGGAGGGCCGCAGCTCTGCACAGTTTAGTTCCAACCCTGCTTCAACACAATTACCTCTAGGTTTCAAAGCAAACTGAAGGGCTCAATTACTTTTATTAAGTGTTTAATTAGGGTTGGAACTAAACTGTGCAGAGCTGCGGCCCTCCAGGAACTGGATTTGACAGCTGTGGTTTAGACAAAGGCTGCCCAAACCCGGTCCTGGAGGGCTGGTGTCCTGTATAGTACAGTTCCAACTTGCCTCAACGCACCTGCCAGGACATTTCTAGCAAACCTACTTAGAGCTTGATTAGCTAGCCCAAGTGTCTCTGATTGGGGTTGGATCTAAACTATGCAGGACACCGGCCCTCCAGGAGCGAGTTTAGGCATCCTTGATCTATGGCATTTTCACAAGACATATCCTGACCATGTATTTGGCCTTGTTTTCATACTTACTGAAGGTAATGATTGAAAAGTAGTTTGACCAATAATGTGTAGGCATTCTTTAAAAAAATGTGGGGATGTTGTAAGTCTAGTCACTGGGTCAAATAAGGACAAAAACACTGTTGGATTAAAAAGTGTTATTTAAATTTATTTGAAAAAAATAAACCCAACATTGGGTTTGTCCATTTTTGACCCTATGTTGTGACAACTGAGCAATTTGTTCAAGAGTACTTGACCAATCATCAATGGTTTCAGTTCAATGAACTGGCATTGCAATGCATAAACTGGTTGTTTTATAAAATATGAAAGCACAACGAGAGCAATTAAAATGTATATGAACCATCTGCAGATACAGATTGTGCTTTGAAAATTGCTAAACGTTGGTTTAATTATGGGCAAACCCACTGTTGGGTTATTTTTAATTTTAAATAACATTTTTAAACCTGACTTTTGGGTTTGTCCATATTTGACCCAACATTTTTTTTAACTTTGAATGTCCCGGCTAGATTATGTCTCATTAAAAAAAAACACACATATATAGTCATCCTATATGCAAATCAGTCTTTTCTAGCCTCTAAAAAAGGGTTGTCCACTCAGTCCTGGTGGGCTGTGCCCTGTAAAGATTAGTTCCACCCCAATCAGACACATCTGGGCCAGCTAATCAAGCTCTTACTAGGCTTTCTAGAAACATCTGTGCGGACGTGTTGAGGCAAGGTGGAGCTAAAATCTGCAGGACACAGGCCCTCCAGGACCAAGTTTGGACACCAAAGCTCAAAACCATTATTGACCTTTTTTGGTCTTTCTTTACCTGCTTTACTGCAGTCTACAGAAAAACTGTTCTTCTGACCCACGAAGGCTTTGGAAAGGCCAGCACCGTGACACACGACCTTACTGGCGTCTGATGTTGGCATAGAGCTGGTCAGAGAGCTGTATGCTCCGGCCATCTTGGAGGACTTGGTAACTGTTTCCACAATGACTGATGAAGTTTCGTGCAAACTGTGCCCCCCAGAAAGACGCATACCTAGAGTAAGAGACAGAAAGTTAAACTACAGCATTTGAGACATAATACTGATTAATTAGTTAGGAAATATCCATCCTACTTTACCTATGACCTTTGCTTTGAAGGGGCTGCCAACAATATGCTGCGGCCCACCATATTTGATGCAAATGAGATAGTTGCCTGGTGCCATTGGTGTGTAAGAGATTTTGTAACCTTCCTGGCACTCATTGCAATCCATTTTGACTTTTGAGGGACCGTCAATAGTAACAGATAAAGCACCAGAACCAGCCTTGCATGTGTTGACGACAAACTCAGATGGGACTCCTACAGAATAGTAAGAGCACAGGATTATTTGGAGCAAAAAACTACGGCCATGACATCGTGCTAATCATTAAAGGATTAATTCATTTGCATAATAGGAATTTATGGAAATTTCCCCCTTGTAATCCAATAGTCTTGCACTATGCAAGTTTTTGAGGATACAACACCTATAGATGTGAACTTTCTTGGAAAATTGACAATTGTTTTGCTAGGTATGACTCTTATTTCATGCTTAGGGTCATTTAGAGCCTTTGCAACTGCATTTAAACTGAAACAAAACATTGAAGATCATAGAAGTCTAATATATGGAGATACATCTGTGACTCTTCTCCTTAAGTTTTATTTTCAACTGAAGAAAGAAAGGAATGCCTTGGATAACAAGGGGTTAAGTAAATGATGAGGTAATTTTCATTCTTGGAGGGAATCAATTCTTCAACTAGCATTAGATTTGATTAATTTGTAAGTGGACCAATACCTGTGCGTCCACCCTCAAGTCCTGGACCAAAAGCAGACACCATTCCTGGATCTCCAACACTTTCTGCTTCTCCAACACGGACTTTGAATGGGCTGCCTGGGATGTGGCTTCCATTGAACTTCACGTCAATAGAGTGAACACCATTCTCACGTGGAATGAAGCGAATTGCATTTTTGTCTGTGAAGGGGTTGGGGAGAGAACAGTTAAAATTGTTATAAAGGAAGAACTATTAAGCAAATTAAATGAACAAAAGACAAAAAAATCATAACAACCCACCACTATCCAATTCGGTGACATAACACTCCTCTACCACACCAGATGGAGCGTGAACTTTTGCATCTATGACACCCCTAGCTCCATTCCTCTGAACTGCGAATGAGGCCTCCTGATTAACCTTCAAATCCTTCTCCTGCAAATGCAAAGAGAAAAGAATTGATTTCTGACTCGCTTAAATACTTGCATTCATGCAGATGGATGAATAACACACTTAAGAACATTTAATCCAAACTCAAAAAAATAATAGTATGACCCTGGATAGACATGGAGTCCAATTACAGTTCAAAGACAAAAATAAATGCCATGGGCCTGTGAGCAGAAAAGGTTGTTCTGGCTTTTGTTTCACCGATATAGTTGCTCAGCTTACTTCTTGATACATCAAGCATGTTGGCGTCTTAGCTTACCTGAAGGCTTGTAACAGTAAGTCGTCGTGCGTCATCTGATAGTGTGGCAACAGGAACAATAAAGGGACTATCTGGGATATGCTCATTATTGAACTTGATAGAAACTTCATAGTCACCTGAGAGAAGAATTGTAAAGTGAGAATGCAATCATTTCTACTGGCTTTGATGACTTTTGAGTGAAATCCTAGCAAGTAACCTCACCAGGCTCCTGCACAACATAGCTGACACCACAAGATCCATCTTTTCTGTCCTCAAAGTTGATTTCAGCCTTGCTTGGCCCTTCTACAGCAATGGACAGACCACCCGCTCCAGCCTCTCTTGTCCAAATACTGAATTCAGCTGTCATTTAGATATGCAAAAAAATGTTATGGAGTGCAATATATCATATTATCATTACAAAATGATTAGAAGAAACAAAATCTGTTTAAAACATACCGGGAACTTTTGCGACAGCTCTCTCTAGGCCTGTGCCTCCAGCCCGGACCTTGTGGAAACCTCCTTCCCCAAGTGGGCCAACTGTAAACTGGAAGGGGCTTCCAGGTACATGCTCGCCCCTGTATTTGACGTTGACGGTGTGAGAACCCATTTCAGTAGGCACAAAGCGGACTCTGTAGGTACTGTTTCCACTATCAACGATCTCTGCATCTGCCAGATTTCCACCAGGGCTGGTAACCTGCGCCGTCATTCCCTGGATCCCTGTTTCTCCTGGAAAAGGGAAAATCAATGAAGTAAGCAATCACATAAATGCTGAAGAAAAGCTGTTGTGCCCAACAAGGACTCGTCTTTACCTTCTTGCCGGATTGTACCAAAGCTACCCAGTCGGTCTCTTCCCAGGAAGGATTCAAATACATCTCTGAAAGGGTCACCACCGCCCCCGCCAACCTGTGTGCTCTCCTCTACATGTACCTCCCGCTTAGTCTCACCTCCATGTGTCTTGCTGATTTCTGTGCGCTCTGTACGTGTGTAAGTGTGGCTGCTGCGGGTGAAGGTACGAGTTAAGCGCTCCTGTGCTGACAGCATTTGAAACCAATTTCCTATGAAGAAATAAATCCAAGCGTTTTCAGACACTGTGGATGATAGTATGATTGTTAATTGTGTCTTAGAATCTCTTGTGTTGGTATTTACCTGGAATTTTTAGGTTTAGGTCGCATGTGCTGCCTACTGATGCAATAGAGGCAGCTTGCCTTTTCCTTGTTATACTCTGTTTCATTCTTCCTTCTCCTGTTACCTTCACTGTAAATGGACTTCCTATAGAGTAGGATAAGCAAGACAAATGGTACAAATCTTCATTACAGTCTGTAATGGACTGCCAGATCATATCATTGTAAAGAACCTTAAAACTAACCTGGTATGTGTTTGTCTGCAAATTTGATATTGATGATGTAGTTGCCTGGTTCGGTTGGGCAATATGTCACTTTGCATGTTCCATCTTCAACATCGTCACAGTTGATATCCACTTTACTTGGACCTTCGATTGACAATCCAAGTCCTCCATATCCTTTCAAACCAAGGTATAATGCAAATCACATTAATCAAGATTATTACAGCAAGGTGCCAGAACCTCAAGATCAAAAAACATAAGAGTAAAAAATGCAAGAACGTACCAGCATTTCTAGTGTCCACAAAAAACTCGGCCACTTCAAAGGTGTGTGCTTCAACTAGTCCTTTACCAAAAGCCTTGACCCTGCTGGCTTCTCCGATTTCCGATGGTCCAACCATAATCTTGAAAGGGCTGTTGTTTACATGTTTCCCACTCTTCCTAACACTGACCTCATGCTCCCCAACTTCTTTTGGGGTAAAGGAGAGACCTAGGCAAGGAAAGCAATTTTTAAATGCATTAAGCAATGTAAATCAGGTAAATACAGAAATGATTCCACGGCATTAAGTGCTTACCAATGTGCCGGTTGGGCAATCTCTTCAGTAGACAAGGTTCCTCCTTTCCTGATGGAGCTTTGATGCTAGCTGTTAGATAGCTCAGGTCTGTTTCTGTGATCTTTAGCGAGACGTCTGCTGCTGTGCCAACATTCAGTTGAGAACGTCGGAGCGAATCGTCACCTAGATGAACACAGGATGATCTGAAATGTAGCTATATTTCCCACATCTGATTTTTAAAAACACTAGTGATTCATTGCTTTTCATACCGGTGATCTTTGCTGTGAAGGGGCTGCCAGGGATATGGCTGTTGTCAAACTTGACAATGATGTTGTAATCACCCGGTGTTGTCGGCAAGTATGACACAGTGCAGGTGCCGTCTTTATTGTCCTTACAGCTGATTTCAGCTTTAGATGGACCCTCAACAGCAAGGGACAAACCACCTATGAAGGACAAACAAAACAGTCAGTTTTGGCATGGTTTAAAAAAAAAAACACATGCGCATTTGTTTTGAAACAACTACTTTACATACCTTGTCCAGCATTCTTAGTGACAACAGTGAAAGAAGCTGGTTTATTGACTGTTCCGTGACACAGACCTGGTCCATAGGCTGTCACCATTCCACTGTTTGTTACGTCAACGTAGAACTGCAGAGGGCTTCCTGTAAACATAATTGCTTTTAAGTCATGATTCTGTTTTTGAAGATAGTAAGTTTTGCACATAATGTCATATGTGAGTCTAACCTGGGATGTGGTTGCCATCGTACTTTATGTCCATTTCATGCAGGCCTTTCTCTGTAGGCTGAAACTGCACTGTGACTGTCCCATCTTTGTTGTCCCTGATGAACGGACGAGCTGTCTTTCCAGATGGCATACGTACTTCTCCTGTAAAAAAAAAAACAAGTGTTGTAAACTTCAGACAACAACACACAAGAGTTGCAGCACTTTTACATAAAATAAAAATAATTTGGGATGTTACCACTGAGCTCTCCTTGCTGGACAGTAAATGGGATAACTAAATTTAGAGGCTGGAACATGGGTTTGGTGTCATCTCTCGGTGCAACAGGTTGATCTGTAGCCTGAGATTACAAAGGACAAGCACACTTTAAACAATGTGCAGTTGTCATTCTGCCTTAAATATTTGGACCATATTTTTTCAAATCCCTTTTTCTTTTAATGTCCCTGGTATCAATATCAACAGAACTATCTATCATGGCACACTTCAACACACCTGTCCAGTAATATCACTCACCATGACTTGAAAAGGACTTTTTGGAATGTGTTGACCTCCAAAGCGGATTGTGATGACATATTTTCCCGGCTCGGGTGCTGTGTAATATATGTCGAAGGTGCCATCGGGATTTTCTGTAACATCCATATCCAGCTCCATGCCATTCGGGGTCTGAACTGTGCATGTTACCTTTCCTTTTCCAGCAGCCTTTGCATCCACAGTGATGACTGTCTCTTCCGACATCTGGATATTGGGCCCAAGGCTTTCTGCTTAAATAAAAACATTGTTAATATCATATCGAATGCCTCACTAGAAGTACTGGAATTTATACAATATACATCAAATTTCTGATTCTTACCAACACCATGTCCGCCAATAGACACTGCAAGCAAGCAAAAAATAAATAAATATCAGTAAAACAAGAGTACGAAACTTTGAAAACACAAGTCACAAATCACCAAAGTGGAAATGATACCTGTGAGCAGACACTTGCTGGCATCACCAGTAGGAAAGGCTTGGACATTGTAAGGTGAATATGGAATGTTATCGCCGCCATATTTAATAGTTATGGTGTAGCGGCCAGTCATGTCTGGCACATAAGACACGGTGTAGGTTCCATCTCTGTTGTCATGAATGCTGGCTTTTTTCGGCTTTCCTTCTGGATCCTAAAATGGAACAAACACCGCTTTTAAATGTACTGCTTTTGCAATATATATTTCTTATATATGTGGAGAAAGCTCACTAGAATTTGAACTGTCAGAAGGCCTTTCCCTGCATCACGAGCGTCAATGGTAAACTCCACTGGTAGACTGGCAGCCACTCCTGTAGTGTCCAAGCCAGGTCCACTAGCACGTACCTTACTGGCATCATGCGAGGGAGCTGAATTAACTTTGTAAGGGCTGTTGACCATCACAAAATGGAAGGAAACAAATGATTTTAAGTCATATTGTTGTCATAACAGCAAAATATGGTGTAAAATATCGGCATCTAATCTTGCTTCTGAATTGACTCTACTCGGCTCCAACACACTTTCTTTAATACAATGTTGGACCACCCTGGTCTAAAATGTATGCCTTTATAATCTTACCTGCTAGGTACTTCTTGGTTGGCATATTTAACAGACACAGTGTGCGGCCCCTCCTGCGCAGGGGTATAGTTGACAGTGTGTGTTCCATCCCTATTGTTTTTAACAACAACAGGCTCCAGAGTTCCTAAAAGATGGAACATGTTCAGTATTCTGAAGACAAAGGGAGTAAATAGTTCCAAAGTAATTAGTTTATTAAATTTGATTTATTTACCTTTTGGTCCATACAGCTGTACCTCTAGAGGAGCCACTCCAGCTTTGCTGCAGTCCACAGTGAAGGTTTGTGGAACATGTGCAGTAACTTTGTTTGCAAGTCCAGGACCAGAACACTTCACCTTACTGACATCCACCACATCCTTAACTTGCACCCGAAATGGACTGCCTAAGAACAGTAAAAGAACATTTTTACAGTGAAGTTTTACAGTCGAAATAAAAGGCATATGTGTAGATAATAATATAGATGTAGTTCATATGTTTATATGTATTTAAAAAGATTCTATTTTACCTGGAATAGGCTGGCCTCCGTAAGCAATATTGATATCATAGTCTCCAGCAGTGAAAGGCATATATTCAACACTGCAGCTACCGTCTTTGTTGTCTTTGCAGAGCATTTTAGCCTCTGATGCACCTTCGATGGTTAAGCCCAAACCAGCTGTCCCAGCACCCCTTTAAACGATAAGCATGGAGAAATAAACTTAAATCTAATCCGGTTTTAAAGCAAAATGTACTGTTTTTCTTTCTGGACCTTTATATATGCGTACCTTGTCTCTACTGTGAAGCAGTTGGGTTTGTTGACTATCCCACCTTCCAGGCCTGGACCATAAGCCCGGACACGTGTTGGGTCACAACCTTCAACAACTGACACCTTAAAGGGACTTTTAGGAACAGCAACTTCATCATAAAAGACCTCAATCAGGTGCAAACCTATAAAAATCCAAAAACTATTTCAACTTGAAGAACTCTCACTTTATGCCATTTCTACCTCATAACTTACAGTCTTTCAAATATCACATATTGAACTGAATGTATGAAATCAGAACCTTTTAAAGTTTAAACGTTTTCAGGTTCTGCAGTGCTTCTAATGATCTGCTTTAACAGTGACCTGCAGCTGTTGTCGGGTTTAATACAAGCTGGCCCTTGTCAGGGACACAACTATTTCATGATCTCTTTTTACAATGCATTTGCTATTTATAACCTCTCTCCCTTCATCTGCCAAATACTCTCATTCATTATCCCTCCAAAGCTCTGAATATATATGTGTGTGTGTGTGTGTGTTTCTTATATAAGCGTTTTAGTTACATACCATCCTCGAAAGCTGTATATTCCACTCTATATGTGCCATCACCCTTATCAGTGATATATGCATCCGTGTTTGCGCCTGATGGATTGATGATACGAATCTTAACATGATTGCCTCCTTTGGTCTTGGCATGGGCCCGTGCATCCACAATGAAGTGTGTTGTCACCTCCCTGAGGACCCCTTGGGTGACAAACACAGACAATATTTAATTGATTTACGGTTTAAAAAATAATCGCATAAAACTGCTAATATTTTATTTTTTAACCGTACCTTTGGGCTCAACTCCTGGTCCATAGACTTTAATTCCACTAGTGTCCACAGATGGCTCCACTTTCACATGTATGGGACTCTTGGGCACCTGCTGACCTCCATATTTAATGGTAATAGTGTGTACCCCATGAAAGAGTGGGGTGTAGGTGACAGAAAATGTCCCATCTTTGTTGTTTTGAATGCAAACTTCAGCTTGAGCCCCTGAATCTGACACAATCTCAATGGTGAGTTCAGCCTCTCCGGCTCTACTGCAGTCTACTGTGAAACTGGCCACCTCGCCAGCTTTGGCCCTTTCCAGTCCTGGGCCACTCGCTGTAACCTTGCCAGCATCCAGAGCTGGCTTGACAACTGCTTTAAAAGGAGAGCCAGGGATATGAGCCTCCCCATAAAGAATATTGATGTTGTAGTCCCCAGCTTCTGTGGGCAGGTAGACAACTGAGCAGGTTCCATCACCATTGTCTTGGCATTCAATCTTAGCCTCACATGGACCTTCCAATGTTAGACCCAGACCACCAGCACCTGCTCCTTTCGTGTCTATAGAGAACTTTGCTGGCTGGCCCACAATACCACCCTTCAGTCCTGGTCCATAGGCCCGAACCTAGTGAGAAATCCAGTAACATCCTATTATAGAACTTATTCATTAATGTTACTGAACACAAAAAATCTATAGGTAAGATGCCATCTTACCTTGGAAGGATCAGCAGGCATGAGTCCCTCCACAGAAAAGGGACTTTCTGGAACAGGGTTCCCATCATAGGTGATGTCTACCTTGTAATGGCCCTCCTCAGGTGGGATGTACTTCACACAGGTGGCCTCCTTTGTCTTGTCTGATTCCAGCTTACATGGTATTGGTCTGCCAGAGGGTGAGGTTATGCTCACATTTACCTTACCCTGTCCACCAGCCCCTTTTGTGTTCACAATAAACTCCTGGTCCTTTCCAACTTCCACTTCTGCAACACACACACAGGACTAAGTTACAATCGGAGCAATATGCATTTACACTTTATTACAGCCAATGTGTCCAGTCCTAGAGGGCCTCTTACAAGTACACAGTTTAGCTGAAATAGTTAATCAGGGTCTTCAGATTAATTTGAAATTGATTAAGCTGACTTTTAATTCTTATAAAGTATAATTCTTAATAAAGTATAATTCTTTATAAAGTAAGAAAAGTGTTGAGTTAAAATGCTTACTTTCATTAAGACCTTGAACTTTGACTTTGCCAAGATCAAGTGAAGGGGCGACTGTGATCTTGAAAGGACTTTTGGGAATGGGATCCCCACCGTGTGTGACCACAATAGCCATCTCACCCTATTTGCGAAAGATTTGGCATTTAATAAGACATAACAGTTACTTCCATAAATAAAATTTGTTCAAATCAAACTCAAAATACAACAGACGACAGCGAACCCTGACCTGATGAAGAGCTGTGTACTTCACAGTGTAGGAGTAGTCATGGTTATCAATGATCTCAAAATCCTTTACAGCATTTCCTTTGGCAGCTGTTTTGAAATGCACCTCTGGTTTTGCCTTTCCTGCTCCTTTGGTGAAGATGGTGAAATGGGTTGGAATTTCCACCTGAACGCCTGTAAAGTAGAGCTGTGTCAGTTGATTGGAATTTCTCCAGGGCTCACGTTCTTAAAGTTGTGGATTACACCCACCTGTCTTGTTAATTCCAGGACCTTCAGCTCTGACTTTACCAGCATCATGAGATGGGTCCACCTTGACTTTGAATGGGCTGCTGGGGATTTCCTGTGTAAAGATTTTTTTTTTTGAAATGACGAGTTCAATTAGCATTAGTGCACCATTGGGTCTAAGCAAGAAGCATGTTCGTCCACTGCTTTACCTGATCTGCAAAGACAACCATGATGGTGTAACGGCCAGGGCCAGGAGGTGTATACTTGACAGTAAAGGTGTCATTGTCATTTTTTATGATGTCAAAATCTATATCCGCCTCTGCTGGACCCACCACACCAGGGGCACATTTGATCCCAATGCTGACATCTCCTAAAGGATAGTACAACTAGTTAGCCATACTAACACTCATTTATTTATGCCATGTAAAAATTAACTCATTATGCAAACCTTGGCCAGCTTCACTACAGTCGACAGTAAAGTAAGTGGGCTCATTTGCCTTCAGGCCGGTTTTCTCAACTCCAGGTCCATAGACCTTGACTTTGTCAGGGTGGCAGCCTTCACCAACAAGAACCTTTTAAAGACAATAGGTTTAAAAGAACAATTAGCAGTGAGTGCAAACCAAGAGGTGAAACCTCAAAGAAAAATGACTCATTTAATCTTGTCATTCCATCCCAGCATAACAAAAATGGAAATACTACAGTGGGTATACTCACTCTAAAAGGACTTTTAGGTATGTTGACCTCCCCCCAGGTAATTATAATGGTGTGCTTCACTGGCTTGGTTGGAACATACACACAAACAAAAGTGCCATCTCCTTTATCAGTAATCTGGATGTCAATCACACAGCCTTCAGCATCCTAGGAGAAAAGCCCACCATTTAGCAAGCTTGTCCAAAATATCCAAATTCACATTTGCACATATGTTCTTTCATATTTGTCCTGATTCTACAGGCATGACCGATTTGTCGACACTGAAAAACTTTGAGCGTATTACATTTGGACATACCTGAGCATAGATCTTCAGACCTCCCTTGCCCGCTTCTCTGGCATCGACAGTGAATTGTGTTGACTTGTTGACAGTAACTCCAGTGGGCTCCAGGCCTGGCCCAAATGCTTTGACCTGCACATGAGATCCATTAGATAACATAGCACTGACCCTCAGAGCAAATTTGAAGAAAGTAAGAGATTCAGTGGTCATAATTTATGTTATGTTAATCACCTTCTCGGGAAAGACGTCATTGGCTGCTGGAAGGATATGGGCCATGAAGGGGCTGTCTTTGATATCTTCATCATCACAGATAACATGAACTGCATAATCTCCGGGTTCAGTGGGCCAGTAGCGCACATCACAGGAACCGTCACCCTTATCATCACACTCTATCTTTGCTTGAGAGGGGCCCTCAATAGAAAACCCTTTTAAAGAAAAATGGTTCACTCAGGAAAATCGGATGAGATGAGTTACTAGAATAAGTTACTCTCCATCCAGATATACCAACCTAGAGTTCCTACTTCTGTGCCAATAGCCTCAACAACAAAGTCAGCTGACTTGCCAACCATTCCAGTCTTCAAGCCAGGACCCCAAGCTCGCACCTTTTGGGTTCCAGCTTCCTTGCTGACCTCTACCTCAAATGGGCTAAAAAAACACGTTTTAAACATTGATTAGACAGGACATAGAGTACAAAGAAGAGATGCTGACTCGTAGGAGATTCTGTATGTTTGCATTACACTGTTTAACTAAGTTGTACTATTAGCTCTCACCTGCGTGGGATAGGTTGTCCTCCCCATGTGATGTTCACAGTATATTTTCCAGGCTTAACAGGACAATAGTCACACTTGAACACTCCATCACCAACATCACACACTTTCACAGGCACCTCTACTCCACCTGAAAAGAGATGCATGCAATATTTAGCATTTCAAAATTTAGATAGATTAATTAATGAGCAAGGATAACTAAGAATTCAAGCAATGAAGTTTTCTTGGAAAGGCTTTCTGAAAGAATATAGGTTTTGACGCCACCATGACTCACCAGGCCCTTTCACAGACACCTTCAGCTCCCCAGTTCCTGCTCCTTTGGTAAAAACTGTGAAATCCGCCACTTCCTTAACCCGAACACCTTTAGGCTGTAGTCCTCTGCCAGTTGCACGGCAGGCATTGGCATTGCTGGCTGATGGGGGGAAACAAAATAGAGCAATTATAAAATGTCCAAATGCACAGATTAAGGCACTGTTAGTAAGAAATGCTAGGAGCTGTGCTTCTGATGAGCTGCGTTCATGGCAAACTGGAATGTGTCTATGCTGCTTTGTTTGGTCACAGATTTTGATTTACGACAATTGAAATATGCAGTACACAGGACATTATAAATAAGAATACAAAATGACCCATGTCAGATCGCTGGAATGGTAACTTTATGAACACTCAAACAATGATGCACCCAAAATACTTTGGTCTGTTACAACAATAAATACAACTACAGTACAAGGCTAAACTCCTAAAAAAAATTCGTACACACAATGCACATGCAGATATCCTGTCTCTCTTATAAGAGTTGTACCAACAACTTAGGAAATGCCAAGTTCACATACTCAGCCCAATACCACTTAATACAATGCATACACACTTTGGCTTTACCCTTTTCTATCATGCCTCAATGTGGGTGTTTTGAGGCATGATAGAAATCAAGCTGTCGCAAACAAGCAAGAAGCTAAGCTTTATACATTGTAGTGCGCAATGAGACATAGACCAAAATTCTGTGGCGGCACACCTTTCTTTTTCTGAGGGGGTATCTGCTTTGGAGCTCCGGGTGGTTTAAGATGTGCTACAAAATAAATAATTGTTTTTCTTTGTTTTGTTTCGTTTTTTTAATTGTTGCCCTCTCTTCCAAAAATACCAAGACATTTATCGAAATCACAGCCAGATATACAAGAACAATCAGATGCTTACCCTCAGAGATGTTCACTTTAAAAGGGCTGCTGGGAATAGGCTGCCCAGCAAAGGTCACATGGATGGTGTGTGGTCCCTCCAGCACAGGTTTGTAGGTGCAGCGGAAGATGTTATCACCCTTGTTTTCAAGGATAACTTCCACAGTGTTGTTTTTATTCTGCGGGTCCACAATGACCACGCTAACATCTCCAGCCCCAGCACCTAAAATGGGTGAGACAGAACTATGAGCACATCTTTATGTACCAAACACAAATCCTTCAAATTTCTCCAGAGCATTCTGCTAACCTGCAGTGTAGATGTCAAAATAGGTAGGTTTGTGGGCCACATTGCCCTCCGGCTCCAAACCTGGACCTCGAGCTTGAACTTTATTAGGATCACCCAGAGCCTTCGCCACATTCACCATGAATGGGCTCTTATCAATGTCCTGACCAGCAAAGAGTACCTTCACCTGTGACATAAAATAACAAATAAACACCCATGACTATGTATATCTGCAAACTATTTATATCCTCAAATGGACAATATACAATGATTCCAGTTCTTGTACAGATGCGTACCTTGTGACGTCCCTCAACCTTAGGCACATAGGTGACAGAGAATGTCCTTTTCTTGTCATTGTTGGCAACAACTTTGGCCTGACAAAATCAAAAGATGAGTTGAAGTTTAAGATGTCAATGATGGCATTCTTTTGCCACATTTATAGTATGTTAGAGAAGCATATCAGTCATTTCTCACCTCCTCAGTGTGACCCTCTGGGTCTTCTACATATACAATCACTTCACCGAGTCCAGCCTCCAGTGTTTCAACAGTAAATACTGCTGGTTTCAGAACCATGTTCCCCTGAGGCTCAATACCTGTTTTTAATCAATAGATCAATAAGGGTATTGGGTATTACTATTTGTGCAACTCTTTAGTATTAGCTTTCGTATAGACAAAGTACTTCTCGTGATGTTTTAAGACAACTGCGCTTGCAATCCTGAGCTTCAGTTTACGTTTACTCACCTGGTCCATAGGCCTTGGCCTTTTTGGGGTACAGCTGCTTTGGCTTAACAGGGGCTCCAGGCTTCAGTTTAGCTTTGGGAAACTGAGAGAGGTATGTCATCACTGAATGCTCATCCACATCTGGATCCACAATTTCCTCTGGAGCAATCACCTGGAGATTAAACATTTATTAGATGATGTTAGATGAGAAATAAGTACACTGAGCTTCATTCTCTAGTCACTGCCTTCAAATTGTGTGTGTGCTAATAACTAGACGTTTAGTCAGAAGGCTTGTTTACGGTGGGATAAACAAAGCAGAAAGAAGCCACGCCCTCCAGCATTTTTTTTTTCACCATAACACTTGTGCCACAAACTATATTTATCCACAGAGTGGTGAGGTTTGAGGGTGGCCTTCAACAAGCTAAGGGCAGGATTCAGCAGAAGCCAGACCCCCCCCCCCACATCCCCTCAAGAGTCAGCAGGGAATTCAACCCCAAGAATTTATGACACACACACTACACCATCCTTGGAATCTCACGGTTATCCAGTGAAGATAATGGAGCAGGCACCACTGTATGCCAAAGTGCTGAAACCACACAAACGCTCATGGAAGCAGTGTGTAAGCACCGTTTACACCTGTTATTATGATATTTTTAATCCAATTTTGAGTCATTTTCTTTTAATATACTAAATTTTTCCTTACTTCTGGGCTTCACAGAGCACTCCCATGAAAGTGAGTCTGTAGAATGTAATAAAATGAGAGGGCAGGGTCTCAACGAAATCCAAGCAAAAGTGGCCACAAGAGATGAATTTGAACACATGCTAATATGAGGTGGTAATGCGTCACGGTTGACCACTTGTGAATGGATCACTTAAACCACATGTTTAATACCAAGTGGAAATGGAGCCTATTACACATTTGTTGTACAAGTGGTGTTGATATTGAGGGGATGTTCACCTGTGGCACTCCGAGCCAGTCATCGGCCTGCTGCATGGCCTCACGAGCATTTTCCACTGGCTGGTTGGGGTCCCATGTTTGCCAGTCAGGGCACAGACCTACATAAAGAGTTAAAGTTATATGATAGAATGATGTTTTAGACCACAGCTGCACATAAAAATGAAGAAACCACTGAGAATCAGGCGTACCATAAACCTTGTCTGCAGTTTAATAATTGTTTAGAAAAACCATCTAAAGAAACATATACTGTAGCCTAAATGTACAAAGATAACTGTAATGCTGTGATCTGTCAAAAGCCAGCAGCACCCTGTATGGTCATGACTGTCGCACAGGGACTGTTTCATATCAGCTGCACTGAAGTAAACACTTTAGTTCACTACCCTGTCCTCTGCGACCAAAGAGTGGCGCAGGAAGCAGGTCATGAATGAGTTTCAGTAACTAAATAAGGCTCAAGTGCACTGGCATATTAAGGAATAGTTCACCCCAAAATGAAAACATGCTCAGTTACTCACCCTCAAGTGGGTCCAAACATTTCTGAGCTTATTTTTGAAGAACACTGGTAACCGTTACATATTAGCTATGTTTCCATCCAAATATGAGAATTATGGTCTGTTTTTATTATTTTTTTTGTGTGAACAATCTCTTTAAACTCTATAACAAACAAGCTAAACGTAACATGATCAAGGTTTAACATGAAATGTTTGCCTCACCTAATCACAACCGCCCAAGGTCAAACCAAGCAAGCAGCTACACCTGATAATGTGAGAATGTCTGCTTACCAGGGGCACAGTTGTCCACTAGGGCGCCAAGAGCCTTGCCATCCCTCCAGTCCTTGTTGAAGTTGTTAATAGGCAGCTCTGGCACTTTGTTCTGAATCCAGCCCAGCAATCTCTGTTTGGGAGTCAGTTTCTTAACCTCCTCGTCGTCCTCATCATCCCACATGGGCATGGAGATGGAATAATGGAGAATAAGCGTCCAGATGAGACCCAGAATCAGCTTCAGGTTCCCGTCTACAATGGCTTTGCTGTCTATAAAGGTCAAAGGCAAGAAAAATGTTTGGGCAAATGGATCCATGTTACTTAACAAACTGACAAACTCTACGGTCAACTTGACATCCTTTCCAATCATGAGAAGACTTCAAATAGTTGGGATGCCAGTGTACTCAACAGATGATTCTACATTTACAAAATGGCTGGTACTTTGGAAATTTCCAGCAATAACTGCTATGTTACGTTTTCACGAATCTGCCAAAGGCCACTGTGCACCTTTTTTTTTAGATCTCAAATCTTTCTCACGAGTGCCTGCTCTCAAGTAAATCCACCAAAATCGGCAGTTGTCTGACTGAATGATCGACTGACCCACCTTCCTCTATCCTCAAACCCAACTGATAGTGTTTTTTTAAAAAGCACAGATTGTCCAGGACCCACCCACTTCCCTAAACCCAACCAACAGTGTTTTTAAAAGCAATCTAGAAAAAGAAAAGCCCTCGCGAAAACCTGATTTTTACCACGTTTTCAGATCTTACCACATTCTCATCCTGTTATTTACTTTTTTTTTTTGTTTTTGATTTCGTCTTACCTGCTTTCTTGAACCGTTCTTCACTGGACTAAAACACCGTTGTCACGGTCAAATCCACTTTGCATCTCAAGCAAGCCTTAGGACAAACTTGAAACCACCTTCCATACGGAGATAAGACGAGGTTCGAATACGAACGTCCGTGTTGCGTTCTTTTTAAAGCTATACATTCCTTTGGCTACATAATTCGAGATCTCCAAAAATGTATATAGGGGTACGTTTTCAGAATGAGCCCATGTTGTTACTTTGACGTGCCATTATTTTCAATGACTACCATATTCAAATAAACAAGTACACACATGCTACTGCAAAGACTGAAAAAAACTTATAGTAAAGTGACATTTCTAAAAAAAAACATTTCTGCCTTAGTTTACTTTAGCATCTCAGAAACAGCACTGATATATTTAGACAACTATCTAACTATTTAACTCAAATGTCTAAACACCCCAAACAGCAGCTCTAAACAATGGCCTCTTAAAGGGATGGTTCACCCCCAAAAAAATCTGTCATCGTTTACTCACTCTCTTTTACTGGTTCTATTATATTTGAGATTCTTTTTTTCCGTTGAATATAGGAAAATGTTAGCCTTAAACTTACTTCAATCACATTTTTTAGGATTACGCTGCAATAAATATCAATGGCTACCAGTATCTAACATTCTTTAATATATCATCTTTTGTGTAAACTATCCCTTTAATTACAAATCCACAGTGAGATCACTTTACTCCATATTCGTTAAGGCTCCGTCAAGTTAACTGGTCGAATCTGATATGACCTTTCACCTTTACCCAACAAACAACTGTATCCCATAAACGGATTTTCCATTTCACTGACACTACTTGTGCGCAGCGCTGAAATACTACTCCCAGGCTCTGACCCGACACCTCAGCTTTGAAGTGAGGTAAAGAAGTGAGCATTTGACTGCTGATAATTTTATGTGAGAGAGATTTGGCAGTCAACCCCACTGAGATACAAGAGTGTAAATAGCCTGATTATAAGCACCAAACACTGCAGTAACAACAGCTAGATTTATTGGTGTGAGATCATGTCATTTCTATTAATAAATAATGAATAGGTCAACAAATATTGTAACCAAGCTTGTACAAAACTCGGTCTTGATGTGCTTTCCAAATGAAAGACCAGGATGTGATGTTCTAAGAAGGATCTATTTCTAATGTATCATTTAACTGAGCATACAAATTTGTTTCATTGGTGTGTAGTTCATTTAGTCATTTGGATAAATTATTTTTCTTAAAGTGTGAATCTGTCTAATTAATGCATAATAATGACATTAGGTATTGTGACTTTTATTTTATACTGTAAATGTGTTAAAGAAGATATGCCCTAGCTTGGGGTAAACATTTAAATACATTTACAAATCTGATAGTAAGCAGATTTTGTGATTTGTGAGTCTTTTAATATAATCAAATGATTATTGTTCACTATTGCTACACTGAATGGCATTTTGGTAACTATATCTTGTAATAAAGTTATTAACTATAAAACACCTTAAAGTTAAAATATAATTCGCTTATCTGCTGCTTAACCTTCTTCTGTCGAACACAAAATAATTCATAGTGAGGATTATTGGAATAATATGGAAGTCAATGGCTACTTCTTCCAATATGCTTCAGAATATCTTACTTTGCATTTTAAGGAAGAAAGAAACTCATTAAAGTTTACGTTCACTCCAGTGTGCATCAATGGTGAGGACGTTGTTATGTTTGTGTGAACTGTCCCTTTAAAGCAGCCACTATTGTTCTAATGCTTGACAGCCCCTTCTCATATGTCATATTATAAACATTACATTCCCACATTACACTGTAAAAATATCTGTTAATTAAAACAAGTTCTGCATTTTGTGATTTCACAGGTGTTTTCTGTTTATTTACAGTTGTGAATTGCATTATGGGACTTTTATTTTTGCTCCCTCCACTATTGATGGTAAAAAAAAACAAGACCACATCACATCAGTCTTATGTTCTTTGCACTGGTTGCATCGTGTCACTTTTTAAAATTCTGCTCTTGGTTTTTAAATCACTAAATGGCTTGGCTCCTTCTTATCTGTCAGACCTTTTGACTGAACATCAGTCTGGTTGGTCTCTTTGGTCATAAAACCAGAAACTATTATGCATCCCTAAGTTGAGGCTGAAATGCAGTAGTGACCATGCTTTAGCAGTATGGTCCTTCATTGTGGAATGCTTTGCCCCTGTGTATAAGATCTCTGTTGTCTGTTTTTAAATCTATGTTGAAAACTTACCTTTGATTTAGCATTTTATCAGTGAGAATTGTTTGTTTTAGCTTTAATTTGTTATCTTTCTCTTTGTGATTTATATTGTGCAGCACATTGTTCAACCTTTGGTTGTGTTTAATAGTGCTATATAAATAAGATTGACATTGACAAAATATCTCAACTCTCAAAGCGTGACTTTTTTAATAGTTTGAGACGATATGTAGTTTAACAAATAATATATAGAGAATTAAGTATGTATATTAACAGAAAATAACGGCTTATCATTATGTCAACATTAAAAACTTAGAAAAGATAAAGATCCCATAATGCAATTCAAAAGCATAATTTAGCGGGAAAACTTGAATCACAATTACAATAAACTCTCAATTTGCTAATATTTTGTTATCACAAACAGTAGTTAGACTGAAGATGAGCAGATCTTACCTATTGACACCAGTTTGATTCTCTCCCTGTCCAGAAACTCCAGCGCCACCGACACGTTCTCCAGCTTCATCTGTCTGAAGTTTGGCCTGACGTGATGTTTTCTGTACATTTTCTTCTGACTGAGGACTTCCAAAAGCGAGATGAGTTTGAGGCCATCGCCCAGGTCTTTCTGCAGGTCAGTGACGCCCTTATTAACGCATTTGAGGTGTTCATTGCACCACCTGGTGAAGGTGTTCTGTTGGATCTTCTTCCACGGCGCGTCCTCGGCCAGGTCTTTCTCGGTCGCCGGCATCTCCTCCTCTTCCTCTTCTCCAAGGTCTGTGCCTTGGTAATACTGCGGCGGCAGGTCGTCTAAATGTGTGTAATTGCTCATGGTGGGACTGCTGCTTTTATACTAATAACGCTGGAAGTTCGCAGCTCGTCACTTTTGCGCGTGAGTGTCAGGAGCGCGCGCGCCGTTCAGCAGATCAAAAAGTTGCAGAAAAACAGACGAGCTTTCGCGGACACTTGCGAAAAGTGATCTTCTGTCAGGACGATGATAGATTATCCGATTTACGGTTTACAAGGCGGTCGGCCTCGCGTTTTTAATTCTCAACCCCTTGCTGAATGTAGTCGCTTCTTCTTAATGGACACTCGGAGGAATATCACTTTTTTTCTTCTTCAGATAGGAAAAGTCTCTGCGCAGTTTGCAGGAGTGAAACTCTGTTTGAAATGATGATGAGGGTGAGGGAAGGGGGTTTAAATGCTCACTGGACCCCTGGGATTACATCACACTGATGTCATGATGGTATACTGGAATATGACGAATTCTGAAGGATCGCGATGAGGGAGCAGATTGGTCGAAATGAGCGAGACGGGTTTGTGATTGGCCAATTAAAGCGCACTTATTTCTGTCTGTCTGGTCAGTGAAGTGGGCGGCCGCTCGTCCACTCATTTGTAAACTGTGCGGTCACCGGTTCTGCATGACAAAGTCACAGCAAAAATAGAGAGTGACGCTGCCAGCATTTTACATTATAGCGTCCATGCCACATATACTGTATATATAGGCTGTTACATGCTGTTATAAATGATCATGAAAAATGACATGTCAAACCAAATGCAACTGAGTAGAAATTAAAAAATTCTGTTTACCCTATGTACTAATACTATATATTGATGTATATCAGTTAATTAATTTCCAATTAATAAATAAACTACACTGTCAAAAATGCAGAGTTCCACACAATTCTGTTGTTCCACCACAAATTGATTAAATTAACGTAACATATTTAAGTGGATTGAACTCAAAACAATTAAGTTGTCCCTTAAAATCTTATTATTATGTTGTTTCAGCTCATTTAAAATAAGTATTTTGAACAAGCAGCAAAAATCTTTTGAAACCGGGTATTTATGCATATTTAATTGTTAAATATACTTTTTAAAAATAATTTATGAAGTTATATTAGTGTCAAACAAATCAGTTGTGAAATGAGCCTTTTCTGCATGTCTATCACTTTTGAGGAAATACAGTGCTCAGCTTGATTGAGTACACCCCATTTTGAAAATGAATATTTTTGTTTTCCATTTCTTAGTGAATATATGCAATGTATTATGGTGCATTTAAACACAACAGAGTCATTAAACAGATATATTTACTGAAATTATATTTTAGTCACCAAGCATATTTAAACACTGAAAGAATATGCAAAAAATAATTACAACCTACAAAATTTCAACCAAATTGGAGCTGTTTTTGCTTCTCTTGATTTTTTTTTTTTCTCTTTTCTAAATTTGTATTTAATATTTTTCTATAGCATAAATTTGCCTATACGAGTTTTTGAACTATTATCGAAAGTTATTTTGTTAGATTAGCTCCAGATTTGGCTTAAGCACTGACTAATCTGAAATATGCGCAAATATAATATTGGATAGCTTGCTATTAAAAATATGAATTTAAAAGAAAGATTTGTGAGGGGTGTACTTATATATGCTGAGCACCGTACATACTATTATTTACAAAAGAATAACACCATGAAAAAAAAAGATTAAAAAAATCTGAAAGTGGACGTTTATGCATTGAAAATTTCTGTATATATTTTCTTAATAATGTTTGTAACATTTTGATGTCGTTTGGATTGAAGTAGATATAGGTTTCATATTGCACTTTATGAGCAAACACAAATGGAGTTTAAATGAATTCAGTTCATTCTTGTGAGGTTATTATGTCAGATGTTCTTAGAAAATTGATTTGAAAAAAATGGAAATAATAGACTTATTTAGCATTATAGTGTTTTAAACTGTTTCTCAACAAAAGTTTCTCAACAATGTTTTTTTTTTTTTTTACTGTTTTGAATACAAATACTTTTCGGCAAACAATTATGTTATGACAGTCTTATAAAACAAATCTTTTTATAGCTTCAGTTAAAAAAAATTATCTTAAATGTGAAAATTGTCTAATAGTTTGCTTTATTAAAATAGAAATAAAACAGAAATATGGGCAGTTTATTTATCAAAAATATGGGCAGTTGCTAATATTAAAACTAACAATACTTTTTATGCAGCATATAAAATGTCAAATAATTCCTTTTTATTTAATATACGGTTGAAGTCAGAATTATTAGCCCCTTTTGATTTTATTTATTTTTTAAATATTTCCCAAATGATGTTTAACAGAGCAAGGAAATTTTTACAATATTTTTTCTTCTGGAAAAAAAATTATTTTTTAATTACAGCTAGAATAAAAGTAGTTTTTTAGTTATTTAAAAAGCCATTTTAAGGTCAAAATTATTTGCCCCTTTAAGCTATATAGATTTTTGATAGTTTACAGATCAAACCATCATTAAACAATAACTTGCCTAATTACTCTAACCTGCCTAGTTAACCTAATTAACCTAGTTAAGCCTTTAAATGTCACTTTAAGCTGTATAGAAGTGTCTTGAACAATATCTAGTCAAATGTTATGTGCGGTCATCATGGCAAAGATAAAATAAATCAGTTATTAAAACTATTATATCTAAAAATATTTTGTAAAAATCTGTTAAACAGAAATTAGGCAACAACAAAAACAGAGAGGGCTAATAATTCAGGGTGGTTGATATTTTTGACTTCAACAGTATATCTGCATGTTTTCACAACAACTTCAAAGTATCACAAATGAAGTGTTTCTAAAGACCTCAGGAACCCTCTGTTCCTTAACAAGAGTGACTTGTATCAGGTTTCAGATGACAGAAAACGTTTTCATGCTTTAATCTTAGCACAGCACGAGCTCTTTCACTTTTATCACGTTCTGTAATATAAAGCTGATCGATAATAATGTGTTCAGGAAGAAAATAAGCGTCAAAGCATCACAACTGTCTTGAGAGAATCAATTTCCAGTTTTATTAGAGGAATAATTGCGCATTGTGTTTCTCCAAATACTAATTTGTTACTTGATTCGTGTTCTAGATTGTTCTCCGTGGGGCCATGCGTGTTTTCATGAGTTGTAGATGTGTTTTTCACAGTTTATTTTGGGGATGTCCTCTCTGTGCAGAGTCATGACTCAACACAGCTGATGTGAATGTGTGTGTGACTTACTGACACAGCAGAGGCATACTGATTAACCTGCTTTTTATTTTTATCTTTTGTAGTCACACAGATTTAAAAAAAAATAGTGTGTATATACAGTTGAAGTCAGAATAATTAGCCCCCCTTTGATTTTTTTTCTTCTCTTTTTTCCCAAATGATGTTTAACAGAGCAAGGAAATTTTCACAGTATGTCTGATAATATTTTTTCTTCTGCAGAAAGTCTTTTTTTGTTTTATTTTGGCTAGAATAAAAGCAGATTTAATCATTTAAAATGTATTTTAAGGTCGAAATTATTAACCCCTTTAAGTTATAATTTTTCAATAGTCTAGAACAAACCATCGTTATACAATGACTTGCCTAATTACCCTAACCTGCCTAGTTAACTAACCTAATTAAGCCTTTAAATGTCACTTTAAGCTGTATAGAAGTGTCCTGAAGAATATCTTGTAATATTATGTACTCTCATCATGGCAAAGATAAAATAAATCGGTTATTAGAGATGAGTTATTAAAACTATTATGATTATAAATGTGTTGAAAAAAATCTGTTCCCTGTTAAACAGAAATTGGGGGAAAAAATAAACAGCAGAGCTAATAACTCAGGCTTCAACTGTACCAGTGTTTCTCAACCACGTTCCTGGAGGTACACCAGCACTGTATGTTTTGGATGTCTCCTTTGTCTGTCTCACCCATTTCAGGTCTTTCAGTCTCTGCTAATGAGCTGATGATATGAATCAGGTGTGTTTGAAGACATGGAAAATGCAGAGCTGGTGGTCCTGCAGGAATGTGGTTGAGAAACACTGGTATATACTGTTGACACAGTTGAAGTCAAAATTAGTAACCCTCCAGCCAAATGGGAATTGTTTTCCCAATTGTTGCGCATTTTTAAAAACATAATAGTTTTAATTAATTTCTAATTTATTTTGTCTTTGTCGTAGTGACTTCTCCCTATTTTTCCATCGATTCCGCTTAAAGTGCAATTTTAAGACTTAAATAGGTTATTAATTTAACTAGACAAGTTAGGATAATTAAGCAAGTTATGAACTGACACCTGTGGTCTAACCATGTTATGCAATTTAATTATGCATAATTAAGACTGTTGTTTAAGTAAACTTTAGCATCATTCCGTACAGTTTCAGGTGAGTTAACAACTTAATTGACCTAAGTAAACATAACTCAATATGAGCAAGAATTACTTTTACTACATTAGTAAATAATACTTGATATAATATGACTTAATTTACCTTATGTCAGGGTTGGTGAGGGGAAATTGGGAAAAAGGAGCGAGGACCCAAGCGCAGAGTGAAGTAGGATTTATTATTAATAAAATAAAATAAAAGGCAAAAATAAACAACCCCGAGGGGGAAAACACTACTGCAACAAACAATAAATCAAACAAACAAACAAACTTGACTGGGCAGGCAGGACAAGGCAGGACTAGACACAGCAGGACAGGTAAACATCGACAACATATGATGACGAACTCGCACAGGACAGCAGACATAAGGGGTTTATAAACTGTAGGAAATTAACAAAAAACAGATGAACATAATTAACTAATAATGGGTTAACAAGGAGGGTGGGACTAGACAATAGACGGGAGAGCGCATGACACAGAGAGACAACACAAGCCATGCGCTCACATGACAAGAACATGTGGCCAATAAGAGAACTCATCAATCGCATGTTCATGACAAGACGAGCACAACACTGAAGCACACGACAAAAAGCACGTGACCACAATGTAAACATCGGGCCACGTGCTTTGACAAAAGACGCAAGACACGAGCACACGATAGATGAACACCTTACCGTGCGCTCACACATAAGCAACGCGCATGCTTCATGTCAGCGCCAACCAAAACTGAAACCAACTAGACGGAGGCGCCGAGAATAAAGCAGCGCGCTGCTGACAGAACAAACACAAACACTAGTACAAGAGCGCGCACGTCTGACGGACGCAGAGCGTGCGCGGCCACATCAAGCGGCAGCGCGCACACTCTGCGTACACCCTTGACGGCGCGCGCGCACACAGAGACAGAAACAGGACCGGACATGGGTAGTGTCAGAGCTCTGCTACCAAAACAAGAATTTACAAAGACCAGAGTGGCAGAACCCTGACACCTTAGTATATGTGACTCAGCATAAGTAAGAATTACATTTTCTACATTAGTAAATAGTACTTCATGTGATAAAGTTACGATTACTTAATTGAATTAAGACAACAAGTTTGCATAATTCAGTTAAGTAAACCTAACAAATTACTTGGTCACACTTTACAATTTACTAACATGAACAAACAATGAACAACACGTTTACTACTGTATTTGTTCATGTTAGTTAACGTTAGTTAATGAAGATACAGTAGTTCATTGTTAGTTCATGTTAACTCATGGTGCATTAACTAATGTTAACAAGCATGGACTTGAATGTTAACAATGCATTAGTAAATGTTCAATTATGATTAATAAATGCTGTACATGTGTTGTTCATGATTAGTTCATGTTAGTAAATGCATTAACTAATGAACCTTATTGTAAAGTGTTACCAATTACTTTTTACAGTGTACATTTCACCGGAGGGCTAGTTATTTAGATGTCAATATAGTCATTTATAGTAAATGTTTATACAACACGTTGCATGTGCACACTGTATTACTAGTTAAAGTGAACTTTAATAACCTGTAATAAATGATGTAGTATATTTTAGTTTTTACTTCAGTAAATTGTGTTTAACGCACAGGGAAAGCGTTAGCAATAATGGTTCAGGTTGCATTGTTTTGTCCCCGATTGCTCTCCATAGATGGAATAAATTTAAGTTTTCTACAAAAACTTAGGTGGAACAATTACAAACTTTTATTCCAGTCTCACATCTATGGATCTGTCCATGTAGAGGCGTGCAGATGATTCACAAACACAGATTTTAGTTTAGAAATGGTTCATACACTTTCTAGCATTTGGTTTAAGATCGTCTTCCAGCTTAAACTCTACTATTACTCTTCCTGGGTCTGAATGTTCCTCCTGATCTCCTCGCAGGAGTGTAAAAACAGAGCCTGAGTCAACAAACCTGGCAGCACAAATGCTGGGCTTAATTTATGACTGTGCATAAAAAAAGATCAGTGTGGTGAAGCGTGCAGCGTCATCCAGGAAGTCCAACTCGTATTTCCCTGAACCAGAAACACATTTATGAATGTGATCCCTCACTTTCTAACAATTATGTGTATGTATATAGAAATAGTATTTACTCATGGCAAAGATAAAATAAATCAGTTATTAGAAATGAGTTATTAAAACTATTACAGTATGTTTAGAAATGTGTTGAAAAAAAATCTTCTCTCCATTAAACAGAAATTGGGGGAAAAATAAACAGGGGTCTAATAAATCTTGACTCCAAATTCTGACTCCGTGTGTGTGTGTGTGTGTGTGTGTGTGTGTGTGTGTGTGTGTGTGTGTGTGTGTGTGTGTGTGTGTGTGTGTGTGTGTGTAAAGCAAAGATGCATATGGTGCAAGTATGCTTTTTAAATTATTATTATTATTATTATTATTATTACTATTATTATTATTATTATTTATATAATTATTATTATTATTATTATTATTAATAGAAAATATTTAAGGTTCGTTTTAGAACAAACAATTTTTTTACATAAATGTATTTGAATGTTGTTGATTGTTATTATTATTTCTGTTATTATTATTATTATTAGAAAGTCATAACAAATAACAAATTATTTATAATAATATACTTTAAAGCTATTATTATTATTATTATTATTCGCAGGTCTAAGAATTTTTGAACAAAATAATTATTTAAATAAATCTGCTTTGAAATATTATTATTATTATTATTATTATTATTATTATTATTGATATTATTTGGATAGTATTTACATCTATAAATTATATTACATATTACATTATATTATATTTTGAAAAAATACTGTTGTTTTACAATTGTCCCATTTCAGAAATAGTAAAAAATAAAAATGTGATAATAAAATAACATTAAAATTAAAATAATTAAATCATCATAAAAAGGCAAACATAGTAAAATACAAATAAAAACATTTATGAAAAAAAATCATTTATTAAAAAGATTAAAACTTTCAAAAAAAATTGATAGATTTCAAATTATATATATATATATATATATATATATATATATATATATATATATATATATATATATATATATATATATATATACATATATGTATATATATATATATACATATATATATATATATATATATACATGTATATGTATATGTATATATATAATTAATAATAATAATAATATTAATAATAATAATAAGCATAATTTACAAACTTAACAGCAGGACACTGGTAGTAGACACATTAAATAATCCAAGCACAAAATCTGTCAAAGAAATTTTATTTTTAAAAGTGCCGTGGTCAAAAGTTTCCATATTTGAACACATAAACACACAGAAATGATGAATATATGAAGGCAGGAACATCAGCTTGTCTGCCTTCGTCAAATGTAGGAATACAGTCAAATCTGTTCATTTATTACGTGGGTACATTAAACAAAATCATGATCTAGAAATAACTATGCAAAATATACAAATATCCTAAAGTTGACTAATTTAAATACAACAATTTTTGGTACCACTTTCACAAAAAATTATTAAATAAATAATCATTTAATGAAACAATAATGACAAAAACCAATAATCAATAGCCTTTGGGTTTTTATGTATATTATTTAAATATAAATTATATCTTTACACAACAATGGGTTTAACAATAAATCTCATTTATTGAAAGCAAAAAATATTTAAATAGTCTTTCGGCTTTAAGAGCTCTAAACAGTTCGGCTCAGAGTCTACTATTCATTGGCTAAAAATGATGTCAGTCTGTTTCAACATGAGAAAAAGGGATTGTGTGTGTGAGTGTGAGTCTTTATATGCAAATGAGCAGTGCCTCCCCGCCCCTTTTCTAAAATAGGGCGGAGTCTTTACAGCTTGTACCTCAGTTGCTCCATAAACAGGTCAGTTTAAAGATGAACCTTAAACAGCCTGAGAGTGAATATAATGTTCATTCAAAGTGTTTCACAATGAGGATATATTTTGTTTTTATTAAGGACTTTCAGAGTAACTAAATTCATAGCTCATTTTACGGAAGTGCTTATGCAAATAAAGTTCAGTTCAGTTTTGTTTTTTCCAGAACTAGACAATTTGTTAAAAAAACACATTCTTGTCAATGTATAAATCTATATACAGTCATCTATATTGTGCTATAGTTGCCTCATGCTTTAACACACAAAAAAATGCAAAAAGATTATAGTGTGAAAGCCATAAAATATCCAGTGCTGTCATGACTAATTGCTTTCAAAATAAAAGTTTGTATTTACATGGTTGTTTACTGTGTAAACGCATATGTATATATTTCTGAAAATGTTTATTTATATGCCAAATATTCATATCTAATATAAATATATATGTAAATATTTTTGTTTGTATATTTTTTCATGTTATGTAAGTTTTATATTTATATAAAAAATATAAATATACACAGTACACACACATATACGTATAATGTAAATACAATCCTTTATTTTGGATGCGGTTTAATAATTTGACAGCACAAAAAAAACATGATGTAAAATAGCAGTTAATTAATAGTATTTAATCTCTTTTTATTTGTTGCTGTTTAACAAACTTCAGACTTTTTTCAATCTGAACTACAATGTTTACTCTAATTCGTATTCAATATTCAATATAGACTTTTCATATGTATTTACAACAAACCCACAACACAACACGGCAGCTAAATGGTGAACAAATCTAAAACGTCATTAAAACTTTTGCTAAACTAATATAAAGTACAGGTGAGATGTTAGAGTAAAACTATAAGAGAGATTGAATTTGTGGTCGTTTGTGGACCAGAACTGAACTTAAGTGATCTATAGTGGGACATTTTTTTTTATCTTAAAGGGTTGTTATTATTGCAGAAGGACAAAAGGACACACAAAAAAACAACTCCAGATGTCACTGTAGAGGCTGTGATGAGTGTTGGTCATGGTTTCTGGTCAGGAGAAAACACAGAATAAATGTGATTGGCATGGAAATAATCTGAGACCATACAAACAGTAGATCTAGCTAGCAATGATAATACACTAACAGCGAGACAATTCCTTAAAATATCCTGTCAATAAAATACATGAATGACAAAAATGGCATTATACAATCTGTTTGAGTCATTTGGAAACATTCAATCGTGAATAATTTGTACAAAAGAAAATCATAAGAGCAAAACATGAACAATAAACTTTCAAAGTTTGTTACCTTTTACTCTTTATATATAGTATACAGTTTAGACCATCAATAAGAAATCAGTGGGTTTTTTTATCAGCATCATTCCTAGAACAGAAAAGAAACAGAGTATGAGATTGATTTACAGTAAATTACAATATAATTAATGTAGGTTTTAGACATTACTACACTATTTATTTATTGTTATGATTGTCTGTTTGTGTCTTTGTTTACCTATTTTGTTCTATTTGTTTGTTTGTTTGTAAGCTGGAATCATTTTTATTTATGTATTTATTTATTTGATTATTAATATTACAGCTTAAGTAATTAATGTTAAGTGGTTTAAGTATTGATAGTTTTGTTTTGTTTTATTTATATAGAACAAAAATGGTATAATAAGTATTATTTATTTATTTATAGTTTTTTTTATGATTCTAAACAAATAGTAACAATATTTGTGTATTAATTAATTCTTATTGGTTTATTCGTTACTAGTTTTATTTGTTTTGCCTGTTTGAATTTTTTGTTTGTTTGATTGTTTGTATTGAATGGAATGCTCAATATTTAATAATTTGTTTATTAATTTGTTTGTTTGTTTTTTCACTCTTTATTTAGCTTGAGTCAATATTTAGCCCAGTGTTTTGTGTTTTTTGTTTTAGTTATAAATAATAGTAACAATATATGTGTATTAATTAATTAATTTATTGGTTTATTCGTTTGCCTGTTTAACATATATATATATATATATATATATATATATATATATACTAGTTTTTTTGTTTGTTTTGCCTGTTTGTTTAATCTTTTGTTTGTTTGTTTGTATTGAATGGAATGCTCAATATTTAATAATTTGTTTATTAATATTCAGCTCAGTATTTGTGTTTGTTTATTTATTAATTAGTTCATTAATTATAAATAATAGAACAAATATTTATTTTTGTTTGTTTGAATATAACACAAATGAAAAAATAAATATAAAAGTATTTATTTGTTTTGTCTGTTTGTTTATTTATTATTTTTTTCATTTGTTTGTTTGTAATGAATGGACTGATCAATATTTACTAATTTGTTTATGAATTTGTTTAATTTTTTTTCATTCTGTGTTGAGCTAAAGTGTAAAATACACATCAGGGATTCAGTATCTATAATTATTTACCTCAGTATTTATTTATTTACTTATTACTTTGTTTATTAATTATAAATAATTAAATAACAGTAACTATATTTTTGTAATAACACAATTATTGGTTTATTTTTTTGCCTGTTTAATTATAACACAAGTTGCATACATAAATATACTAGTATTTATATGTTTTGCCTACTTGTTTAATTTTTGATTTGTTTGTTTGTTTGTAATGAATGCTCAATATTTACTTGTTTGTTTATTAATTTGTTTGTTTCTTTTTTCACTCTTTATTTAGCTCAATATATTTAGCTTGATAATAGTAACCACAATTGTGTATTAATTCATTCATTTAATACTCTGATTATAACAGAAATGAAATAAATAAATATGAATATTTGTTTGTTTTGTCTGTTTATAATACACATCTGGGATTAAATATCTGTTTCAATATTTACCTGAGTATTCAATATAATGTCAACTATTTTAAGGTTCAATAATCAGACCCTTATTTTCTTCCACTGAAAAACAGGGACTTTGTTAAATCATGCCGTGATTAAAAAAGACATACTAAATAATACTAAATATACGGAACCCAAAGGGCAAAGGTGTCTTTAACTTTGCTGTTCAATCACATGTTCGATAATGTGAAACATAATTCAGAACAGCAGAGGAAGCAGGTGAAGTCATCAAGCTATCGGTGAGAGACGATTGTGAATGATCTTTTTTAAATGAGCGCTGTGTTTCTCTGCACCTGTCACTTCACACTGCTAAAGTTTCATTGAAATCATCACTCCAGGAAACATCGCTTATGATTTCACTCGCTCTCTGACACATAACCTTTAAGCCATCTGACCTGCTCTCGGTCTGTCTGTGTGTAATACAGAAAAATCATGCTCTCTTTCATTTCAACACTCTTTCATTTCTTTGAATACAAAGTGTTGTTGTTCAATAATTAACAGTGCACTAGGCAATATTTGAAAATCACCCTTGACCAGACTTCATTCATGTATTCATTTTGATTTGGCTTAGTCCCTTATTTATTAGGGGTCACCACAGTGGAATGAACCACCAACTATTCTAGCATTTGTTTTACGCAGCGGTTGCCCTTCTAGCCACAACCCAGTACTGGGAAACACCCATACACACTCGATTCACACAATCATACACTACGGCTAATTTAGTTTATTCAATTCACCTATTGCTAACCACTGAGCCACTGTGCTGCCCCTGACTGGACTTAAAGGGCTGCAATTTTACCCCTTTTACAAGATGTACAATAAGCCATTGGTGTCTCCAGAATGTTTGTGAAGTTTCAGCTCAAAATACCCATCAGATCATTTATTATAACCTGCTGAAAATGTCGATTTTGGGGTCAGAGGGAACTGTAGCTGTTTTTTCGTAGCCTGTGCTTTAAATGCAAATGAGCTGCTTTTCCCCGCCCACTGTTTTCTTGCTTTACATCAGATAAACAGCAGACAAACTACTGTTTCTGAGTCAAAAATACCACAGTAAGACTGAACCCGAAACTTCCACACTGGTTATTTTTGTGGAATTTGTTCAAGCCTTTTTGCAATGATGAGTCACACACAAATGCCATTACAAAGTTTACAGTATACACACACACACACACACACACACGTACACGTTTAACTTTTTAGTTTTTTTGTACTTGTGGCAAATGTGACAGGATACAAGTTAATATACACTGCTGTTATCCTACTAGGGTTGGGTGATGTCGACCAATTTGGCATCGTACAATGTCTAATGTCAAACATCACGATGCCATTGTAGGCAGCGGTGAATTAATTATTTATGAATAATAGATATAGCAAATAGAAATAAAAAAATCCATGTAAAAAAAAATCCCTTTGACCTTAAGAGGATTTATCAATTGGGACCCAGAACAGTGTCACAAGTATTGTTGGATAAAAGTGCAAAAAAAGAAAAAAAAAGAGGTATTTTTAATCTAATCAGCACACCTCTTTGACGTCAGTGGTCCTCTCCAGCTCTTCCCGGCAGCGCAACAACTCCAGCTCCAGCTCAGCTCGTTCCTTTTGACTCGTCTCATACATCTCCCGCAGATTCTGGAGTTCATTCTTGAGTCCGTCACACTAGCAGACATAAATAAGCAACATTTAGTAAAAACATTCCATTCTTTACAATATATGTTTGAGTTGTGCAGAATGCAGGCATCATAGATATAAATATTCTGTTCTTCCATTGTCAGCTAAATTGATTCATTTGCAATCGGTTAAAAGAATAAGCAATAGTACATCAGAGCTGAGGGTGCATTTGTAACACATCGTATTTGTAAATTGTTATTATAATGAAATTGTTGTATTTATAGAAATTATACAACTGGGATGGTCTTTGAAGGTCCCGTGAAATTAGAACAAAGTTTTTTAGATGTTAGTTTCAGTTTATCTATTAGCTAATGTGCTCCAAAACAGTGACAAAATTTGTGTTTAAAAAAATTAAAACTGATATGAACATCCAAAGCTTGCAGTTTGTCACTTTCACCTAAATGAATACATTTTTTCACTCATCAAATCTTGACCAATCAGATGCTCTCTATTATGCCACACCCCCTTCAAGACACTTCTTATTGGTTTTCATTTGATGCGCCTGACTTAACGACTTAACTGGCGAATTGTGATGAAATAAAACTCTATTGGCTGTTTATTAAAAGGGGAGGAGCTACACTGTTCCACCCTCTCTCATTATTCAGTTGAGATTTCATCAAACATAAAATACAAAATGCACATTTCAAAGCACTTCACATGACTTTTAATGTTGTATGTTGTTATGTTGTCTTATTTTTGGTACGGCAGGAACTAATTTCTACCAAAAAACACAATAAATGCTACCTTGTCCTTGATTTTAAACTTGAGCAGTTTCTTATTTAAAAAAGAAATTGCAGTGGTTTACCTCTCTCTGCTTGTGCGTGGCCTTCTCTTCAGTTTGTTTGAGCTGGTCTCTCAGCGAGAGGATCTCTGGAAATCCTCCCGTCCAGCTAGTCGGGGTGACTGGTTTCCCATCAAACGAGATATTCTTCTGGATTCCAGCATCCACCAGCCTGCAGGTGGAGCTCATCTGATCCACGCTCATAAAAGAAACTTCGGTTTCCGTCTCTGTTCCCTCCTCATGTTCTTCTTTAAGAGTGACGCAGGAACTGCCTGAACTGTGACACAGTTAAAATAAGATCTATTAACACAGAAGAGAAATGTCTGCGTATATGGAAACATTCATTCATTTATTTTATTTTCCTTTATTAATCCGGGGTCACCACAGCGGAATGAATCGCTAACTTATCCAGCACGTTTTTACAAAGCGGATGCCCTTCCAGCTGCAACCTATCTCTGGGAAAATAGGGAAACATTTAAGTTCTAAATCTAAATCCATAAATCTATGGCTTCTAGTTTGTAGCTTTGAACTTTGCTTACATTATTGTGCTCCTAGACAAATACAATGTCTAAAAAAATTTAAATAGGGCTAATGTATAAAGATACGATTTCGAAAAAAAAAAATATTCAATGCAGAGAAGAGTAATGAAACTTAAAAGTAAAGAAAAATGTTGTTTAAAATTTGTTTAAATAAATGAATAATGTAATTTAAAAAAAAGATTTTCTGAGGAATTGCTGATATGCAGGGGTGGACTGGCCGTTTGGCAATTCTGGCTAATGCCAGAAGGGCCGGACCATATTTTAAATGTGGGCCGGTCAGCTTTTTTTCATTTATTTTTTATATGTATTGTTTTGACATGCATGCAGCTTTTATCTCTTGCAAGATGTGAATATTATGATGATGATGATAATAGTAATAAGAATAATAAATGTTAAGCATGGGCCCAATCGGCAACGACCGGATAGTTTCAAGATGGGCCGACCCAATCAGGGGTTACGCGGACGTAATCAAAATCTGCCAAGAATGTCAAACAAATAGTAAGTGCAACACAAGATAATTGCCAGAGATGAACCGTAAAAAAGGAAAGGCGGTGCCGAAAAGCTCAGAAAAAGCAAAAAAAAATGTCATAAGAAGATCGCTATTTCGAGCCTCGGCTGGGTCAGTAGGTGTTTCTGTGTGGAGTTTGCATGTTCGCGTAGATTTACCTCACAAGTCCAAACACATGTGCTATAGGTGAATTGGGTAGGCTTAATTGTCCGTAGTGCATGTATGTGAATGTATGTGTATAGAGGTTTCCCAGTGATGGGTTGCAGCCTCTGAGGGCATCCGCTGCGTAAAACATATGCTGGATAAGTTGGCAGTTCATTCCACTGTGGCGACCCCAGATTAATAAAGGGACTAAGCCGAAAAGAAAATGAATTAAATGATTGCAGTAAATGTGCGTGTTCGTGGATGGGGCTGTGTCAGTGTGGTAATGTGGACTGGTGTGGTCACAGTGCCAGGGCTGATTTTTAGTCCCAGTCCGCCCCTGCTGATATGTGTCGCTTAAAGTCTTGCTAAAAGAATTTCACAGAAAGATAAACTTTTCGTTCGTGAATTTTGCCAAATTCCAGATGTCCTAACATGGCTGAGCTGGAGACAGACGTGTATCAAAAGACGTATCTGCTCACCTCCTCTTCTGCAGCATCTGCAGTCTGTGAGCCAGTCTAGTGTTTTCTTCTTGCAGTGCCTGACACTGTTCCTTCAGACTCTTACAATCTACCGTTAACTGACCCACATCACCTAAACAAGCAATACAAAAACAAAATGATGTTCTAAATATAAAATAAACATTTTGTCTCTGTTAAACATCATTTGGGAAATATTTTAAAAAGAAGAAAAAAAATTAGGCTAAAAAAGGGCTAATAATTCAGAGGGGCCAAATAATTCTGACTTGAACTGTGTGTATATATATGTGTGTGTGTATGTGTGTGTGTATGTGTGTGTATATGTATATATGTATGTATATATATATATATATATATATATATATATATATATATATATATATATATATATATATATATATATATATATATATATATATATATATATGTATGTATATGTGTGTGTGTGTGTGTGTGTATGTATATATATATATATCTGTGTGTGTGTATATGTATATATGTATGTATATATATATATATATATATATATATATATATATATATATGTATATGTGTGTGTGTGTGTGTATATATATATATGTGTGTGTGTGTGTGTGTGTGTGTGTGTGTGTATATATACACACACACACACACACACACACATATGTATATATATGTATGTATGTATGTGTATATATTTATATATGTATGTGTATATATATACACACATATACATATATATATATATATATATATATATATATGTATATATATATATATATATGTGTGTGTGTGTGTGTGTGTGTGTGTGTGTGTGTGTGTGTGTTAGTAAGTAATTACTAAGTAATTTATGTTTATGCAAAGACAATTTGTAACCAATTGTAACCAAAGCATGTTACAAGAAACTGCACAAGCGTTACATTTATTTTTTTAAAGGCTCTTTCTCATCCAGGCTTGAGCGTCAGATTTGTCTGCATTTTCACATCACACCGCCGATGAGCCACAGCATCTGCTATTCTGCAGGAGCTCCTCCTCACTGGACTCTGTGAGCTGCAGGCGTTTCTGAAATGCTTCAGGGTTCCACCCTTTATTAAAACTAGTGTGATTTATAGCCATCACTGTCGGACGCTAACCAGCTTCAGAAATGAAGTTAGTTCATCATGCGTTGATTTTAGTATGATGTCAGCATGGGCCACGATGTTCCAGACAAAGTCTAGATAAGAACAACATATTTAATCAATGCAAAATGAACCTTTTTTTTCCAAATTGTAATTTTTAAGTTATTACGAATGTTTATTATATAGTATTATTAGTATTATCATTGACCTGTTTGTAAATTTACAATATGGGCAACATGTGGAATTTAACTACATGTACAGTTGAGGTCAGAATTATTAACCCCCATTTTGATTTGTTTTGATTTTCTTTTTTAAATATTTCCCAAATGATGTTTAACAGATTCAGGAAATTTTCACAGTGTGTCTGATAATATTTTTTCTTCTGGAGGAAGTCTTATTTGTTTTATTTCGGCTAGAATTAAAGCAGTTTTTAATTTTTTAAACACCATTTTAAGGTCAATATTATTAGCCCCTTTAAGCTATATGTTTTGTTGATATTCTACAGAGCAAACCATCGTTATACAATAACTTGCCTAATTACCCTGTCCTGCCTAGTTAACTAACCTAGTTAAGCCTTTAAATGTCACTTTAAGCTGTATAGAAGTGTCCTGAAGAATAGCTAGTAATATTATGTACTGTCATCATGGCAAAGATAAAATAAATCAGTTATTAGAGATGAGTTATTACATTTACATTTAGTCATTTAGCAGACGCTTTTATCCAAAGCTATTATGATTAGAAATGTGTTGAAAAATATCTCTGCACTAAAAAAAAAGTGTTGCATACAGAACTGTTGCAAACAATTTATTTGTGTTAAATTTAAACAAACAAATTAAATTTAATAATCTTCCACTTAGTTTGTTTGTTTAAATTCAGCCCAAATAAATTGTTTAACGTAAAAAACTTGAGTAAATCTAAGGAATCATCTTTGAATAGTTTTTTTCAGTGTGTTAAACAGAAATTGTGGGAAAAAATTAACAGGGTGGCTAATAACTCTGACTTCAACTATTATTAATGATATCTGCAATGTAAAATCAGTTTTGAACTGGATTTGTGACTGTTATCATTTTATCTGGAGTACCTTTTTCACTTAATTAAAAATTTTAACTAGTATTATAATGTAAACAGTTTATTTTAAATACCAAGTACCAGGAACAGTATCGTATAATCAGTACCCCCTCTTTTCTCCCCCCACCATACCAAACGACAACCTGAAAACATCATGCAGTTAGAGTGTGCCTCAGACAGGTGAGTGGGCCTCACAAACCACCTGTAGAAAACTCAATCTTTAATCTCTCTGACACAGGGGCACCACTAAGGGGGGGAGCTAGGGATTCTAAGGGCCCACACACTTTAGGGGCCCCCAGAGATGCTGTTAAGGGGACCAACCACCACAATACGTTATACTATAGGAATCAAATTGGTTTCTCTTCACAGTTTTGCTCTAACCCTTATCAAGCAGAGCTGATCCAACTAATCAAGGTGTTCAAGTCTACCAGAGACTATTAAGCAAGTGTGAGTTGGAGGTGGTTGCAGGGTGCGCAGAGCTGTGGCCCTTCAGGAAGTGAGTTTGAGACCATTTCTTTATATGTAGATTCACGAAGAGTCATTTGATGACCTATACAAGACCGTAAAATGCTAATTTCTCATTAATAGTTGTGTTTATTATTAGTGAAGACTCATTAGTAGTCGTGTCATTTGTTTAAAACATTATTTATAATCGTGCACACCCCTGATACTCCTTATGCCCCCCCTCCATCTTATGGTACCATTCTCCATTTGAGCCCCATGTATTCTTCTCACCCTCCTTCCTCTGCTGTAGACGGCTCTGGCTCTTCATCTCTATTTCAGCTCGGAGTGTGACCATCTCAAGCTCATACTCTTGTCCGGTGTCCTCCAGCCGTCCGATTTCAGCCCGTAAGCGGCACAGCTCCTCCTGCAGACTGGCGATATCGTTCTCCCTCTCAGCCGCAGCCTCCTCCGACGCCTGCTGCAGCACCAGCACCTCCTCCTGTGCCGCCCGCAGCTCCTCCTGCGCCTCCAGCAGCTCGCTCTCCTTCTCCTCCTCCAGACTGTCCATCTCCTCCTGGACTGAACGAAGCTGGGCTACAGGGTTGGAAAGATCATTGGAAATTTTTATTTAAAAAAAAAAGTCAAACTGCTGCAACAAATGTTGTTATTTTGATTGAAATGAACGCATAAGCTCGGATTTGTTGCCATCCAGTAATATTTATATATTAAAGTATGAATTAAGACGCTTAAAGTCCAGAAAAGGAACCAAAAATGTTGTCAAAACATTCAATGTGACTTCATGGTATCAAACTGTAATCACATGAAGCTCCAAGAACAATTTTGTGCACCAAAAAAAGTAGATATGATTTTGTTCTCCTTTGAATGCTCTCAGATTTAATTTAAAATAGTTCAGTTTGTGAGGATGAATGAATGTCTTAAGAGATGTTGGTAATTACGAACAGTATTTTCATTTTTGTGTGAACCTAACCATTTAAGCATCCAAGAGTCTCTGTTACCTTGCAAACGCTGGATTTGTCTGGTGAAGGCCTCGGCCTGATGAGCACTAGCTAAACGTTCTTCATCGAGAAGACCTGAATGGGGATAGAGAAAAACATTTGAAATACGTTTTTGGTCTAAATGGTGGTCAAAAACACAACATTGTAAAAGCAAGAGTAGTGTTGTATTTAACAGCTTCGGTTCTACTCGTTCCAAGCAAGATTCAAACTAGCATCTCAGGCATGGGACTGTATACCAAGGGAGTGACTTGCACAGCCTCTATTAGCTTGCCTTCGTTACCATAAACCCTCAACGTCACTCCCATCCCAGTCACAGCACTAATGTCAAGGCTGATTTATACTTCTGCATTAAGCGCATGCATATGCTACGGCGCAGCAACAAAAAAGTATAATCTAGTCTTTTTAAGTATAATAAAGCCTTTTCTGTTATAATTTTATGTGGAAAAAATGTACAATCTCGTCTTTTTAAGTATAATAAAAATTATTTTATGATCATTTTATGCAACAAAAAAATTATAATCTTGTCTTTTTAATTATAATAAAATATTTTTATGATAATTGTGTGCAACAAAAAATATAATCTAGTCTTTTTAAGTATAATAAAGTCTTTCATGATCATTTTATGCAGAAAAAAATGAATAATCTAGTCTTTTTTTACAAATAATAAAATCTTTTTACGATAATTTTATGCAACAAAAAATTTATCTAGTCATTTTAAGTATAATAAAGCCTTTTCTATTGTAATTTTATGTGGAAAAAATGAATAATCTAGTCTTTTTAAGTATAATAAAATATTTTTATGATAATTTTAAGCAACAAAAAATTATAATCTAGTCTTTTTAAAAATAATAAAATCTTTCATGATAATTTTATGCAACAAAAAGTATCATCTAATCTTTTTACATGTAATGAAGTATTTTTATGATACATTTTATGCAACAAAAAATTATTATCTAATCTTTTTAAGCATAATAAAGCCTTTTCTATTTTAATTTCATGTGGCAAAATGAATAATCTCATCTTTTTAGGTAAAATAACATCTTTTATTATCATTTTATGCAACCAAATAAGTGTAATCTAGTTATTTTACATATAATAAAATATTTTCTATTATAATTCTATGTGAAAAAATTAATAATCTAGTCTTTTTAAGCATAATAAAGCCTTTTCTATTGTAATTTTATGTGAAAAAAAATATATTCTTGTCTTTTTAAGTATAATAAAATCTTTTATGATCATTTTATGCAACAAAAAAGTATAATCTAGTCTTTTTAAGCATAATAAAGCCTTTTCTATTATAATTTTATGTGGAAAAAATTTATAATCCAGTCTTTTTAAGTATAATAAAATCTTTTATGATCATTTTATGCAACAAAAAAATTATAATCTCATCTTTTTAATTATAATAAAATATCTTTGTATGCAACAAAAATATATAATCTAGTCTTTTGAAGTATAATAAAATACTTTTATGATAATTTTAAGCAACAAAAAATATAATCTAGTCTTTTTAAAAATAATTAAATCTTTCATGATCATTTTATGCAACGAAAAGTATAATCTCATCTTTTTAAGTATAATAAAGTCTTTTATGATCATTTTATGCAACAAAAAGTAATCTAGTTATTTTACATTTAATAAAGTATTTTCTATTATAATTTTATGTGAAAATTAATAATCTAGTCTTTTTAGGTATAATAAAGTCTTATGATCATTTTATGCAACAAAAATTAATAATCTAGTCTTTTAAAGCATAATAAAGTCTTTTATGATAATTTTATGCAACAACTAAATTATAATCTAGTCTTTTTAAGCATAATAAAGCCTTTTCTATTGTAATTTTATGTGAAAAAATTAATAATCTCGTCTTTTTAGGTATAATAAAATCTTTTATGATCATTTTATGCAAAAGAAAAAGTATAATCTAGTTATTTTACATTTAATAGTCTTTTTATGATCATTTTATGCAAAAAAGAATAATCTAGTCTTAAGTAAAACAAAGTTTTTTATTATTTTATGCTACAAAAAAATAATAATCTAGTCTTTTTACATATAATAGTCTTTTAATGATAATTTTTCAAAAAACTCTTACAAAGTGCACATTTTATACCCAGAAAAAAATCATTTGAAGCAGTGTTGTAGCACTCAGTGGGTCATTTATACTATGTTCAGGCCTGAGAGCGCAATCATGCAGTGACACCTCTTTAGTGCTCACTCTCCAGGGTGGGACTGATCTAATGCGACGCCTGAGATCACGAACGACCAGGAACAGCACAGCAGGGTCACCGGAGATCATCCAGGAATGATCGCCTGAATAAAAGCATGCGCTGGTCAGGACAGCCCTTCTGGAATCTTCCCTCCCGCATGCAGCTGTCATTTCACATGCCTGTCGCGTTACACACAAACAGGCTACAGTCACACCGCCAGATCATTACCAGAGTCCCGGGAGTCTGTCTGCTATTGAGCAGGTGACTCATTAAAGAGACATAACCGGCTATATATAGAAACTGTTTTACTGGGGCTGTCATTGAATAAAGCAACTCATGGAGATAAACACGAGGACACACCGTGCACATTAGACAAATAAGTTTCAGTAAAGAAACTTACATCGTGGTATAAAGCTACTATACAGTATGTATTTGTCATTTGACCAATGCACATTTCAGATGTATTATTAGAGGGACAAACATAGATGTTAATACAGAGATTTGCACTCAGCTGCTCCATCTATTTCAACAGCAGAAGAATGGACAACATTCTGGCTTTGTGGTTTTACATATGGTTTATGCTGATAATTTTAGCCGTATAATTCACTGTATGCACTGAACTTTATTTTGGTTATTAAGAAGTTGCTTGTGAATATCATCGCAAGTGTAAAAGTTTGTTTTATTTCGGCTAGAATTAAAGCAGTCATTATTTTTTAAACTATTTTAAGGTCAATATTATTAGGCCCCTTAAGCCATATTTGTTTTCGATCAGACAAAAGCCAATCATATGCGTTTAGAGCCGGAAAAAGAATTTGTTCATCTCTCGAGTGCTCGGGTTTGAGTCATTCTGTCACCTGATGAATGAACGACTCAAGAACTAGATGATTTGAAAGGTGAACTAATTATCATGGCTCCCATCGACTCAGACTGTGTACATTAGTTAAAGTTATATGTGACTGTCAGTGTAACGTGAAGGAACCACTGACATTTGAAGACGCAAGAGATGAGCTGAGCAAAGAGACAACAATACCTTCATAGACAAAAGAGCAGGTCAACATTGAATTATTATTTTCTCCTTCTTATAGTATTCTATTTATGACTTATTTGTCATGTGATCAACCTTTTGGGCTAGTTGTAGATGTGTTTGGAAGCAATTCGTAACATTTTGATAATATTTTCGCAAGTTCAACCAAATGAACGAAATGACTCCAAAAGATTCGTTCATCTCGATGAACGAGACTCAAAGATCCGAGTCAGTAAAAAGATTCCAAACTTCCTATCACTACTTTCGACTGAATCGATCGAGCGCTGCGTCCGAAACGGCATACTTTCATACTATATAGTACGCTAAAATCAGTATGCGAGCCGAGTAGTATGTCTGAATTCATAAGCTGCGTCCCAAATCGCATACTTATGCACTATTCTACGCCATTTTGTAGTATAAATAGTGTAAGTAGTGTGTTCACACTGAAAACTCTAAAAATAATAAGTGCACTTTAATTACCCGGATGATGCACTCATTCAGCCGCTAAAATGAAGTGTGTAATGATGGACACTTCACGCACTCAACGACCGCAGGTTTGCTTACGTAGCGGAAGGGGCGGAGCTATCGGACGCACATGTTGAATAACTTTATTTATTTTGGATGGAGAAAGCAAAATTCTCCTACGAGAGTGATTATTGCGCCTCCCGATGGTGAATGCGGCAATACTCACGATAGGTATTATTTGATAATTCGGTCGTTTATTTCACTGATTTGGCAACCGTCAAACGTCATCAGGGAAACTGTTTGAATTTCCGTTTAGTATAAAAACATTAGTGTGCCATTTGGGACAACACTACATACATGTACTATCCTGTTGAGTGTGTAAGTGCATAAGTACATAGTGCATGAGTGCATAGTGTATAGTGTGCCATTTGGGACGCAGCTCTAGAATTAGAAAAACAGTATGCGAGAAGTACCCGGATGACTTGCTACTTCCAGCGAGATTCTAGAGTGCGCATCCCATGCACGCTGCGCTATCCCACGATGCCCCGCGAGCGAATTCATGAATGGGAGTAAAGCGACGCAATTGACGCAGGCAGGTCACGTAACCATGACAAAATGGCGGATGTAAGACGTCCGAATTCCATTCATACTTTTCACGTTCATACTGTATAGAGCGTACTTTTCTAACGGCCGAGTAGTACGTTTAAATTCAAATGCAGTACCTACTGAGTAGTAGGCGGTTTCGGACGCAGCCATCGATTTTTTTCACATCATCTAATACCTCAGTTTCTCATCAAATCTTGACCAATCAAATGCTCTCTAGTATCTGACATGCCGAGCAGAGCTGTGATAACAACAAAATGCTATTGGCTGTTTTTTTAAAGGGGAGGAGCTACTCTGTCCTGCCCTTCCTTCATTTTTCAGTTGAGATTATACGTCACATATCAAATAAAAAGTGCACATTTCAAAGCACTTCACGAGACCTTTAATGACTGAATAAGTGAGAAAGTGTCAATATTCGGTTATTAAAATTGGCTATGTGTGTCAAATGCATCCCTATATTCTCTTGACCCATGAGCATGTGTCTGACCTTGGAGCTCCAGAAAGCTCTCCTCGTGTTTCTGCGCCGTGTCTCGAGCCTCCTCCAGCTCGAGCAGGAGCTGCAGCACCTGCGCCCGGAGCTCCTCCAGCTCCTGCTCCTCCGACGGCTCCTGCTTCTTCTCCTCCTTCACCTCCTTCTCCTCCTCCTCCTCGTTCAGGACGTCACGCTCCTTCTCGGTGCTCATGACACTTTCCTGGAGTCAGATCACTGTGTTACCTGAACAGCAGGAACAAAAAATATTAAAACAATGGGTTAGAATATATTGAGCTGATGATAATTCAACAGGGGTGACACTGTGGCTTAGTGGTTAGCACTGTGGCCTCACAGCAAGAAGGTCGCTGGTTCGAGTGCCAGCTGGGTCAGTTGGCATTTCTGAGTTTGCATGTTCTCTCCGTGTTTGTGTGCACTTCCTTCAGGTGCTCCAGTTTCCCCCACAGTCTAAACACATGCACTATAGCTGAATGGAATAAGCTAAATTTGAGTGTTTATGGGTGTTTCCCAATACTGGGTTGCAGCTGGAAAGGCATCCACTGCATAGAACATGCTGGATAAGTTGGCGGTTCATTCCGCTGTGGCGACCCCTGATGAATAAAGGGACTAAGCTGGAGGAAAATGACTGAATATTCAACAGCCTTCTGCTTAACTGCTTTACATACTGTAAATTGTCATGTTGATGGCTCCATCTTGTGGCGAAGAGGAGCATGCAAAGCATTAATGAATTGTCCTGTCACATGCAATTTTTGTGTGTATTTATTTATTTATTTATTTTTGCTTCATGGGATTCTAATACAATCTTGATTACCTTTACCTTTTTTTTTGTTTTGTTGTAAATATTTAGCATTTTGTTTGAGTTTGACCTTGTCCTGTCTTGTGTTGATTCACTTCATCAAGGACAAACTCATTTATTTATTTTAATTTTTTCATTTTTTTCTAGTTTAAACTTGTGCACTGCCAAGATGTTCTGGAATTTGTCTTGAACGATGAATAACAATTATATAAGACCCTTGAGTATATGGCAAATGTTTTTTTAGGAGTTCTGAGGGATTTCATGCATTTAATGTCTGCAGCACCACCTGTTGGCTTAATGGGCAATTGATATGTTATAGCCTACCCAATTCCCCTGTACCGCATGTCTTTGGACTTCTGGGGGAAACCGGAGCACCCGAAAGAAGCCCACGTGATCACGGGGAGAACATGCAAACTCCACACAGAAATGCCAACTGACCCAGCCAAGACTCGAACCAGCGCCCTTCTTGCTAAGGCAACAGCACTATCTGCTGTGCCACCGTGTCGTCTAAATAATATATATATATATATATATATATATATATATATATATATATATATATATATATATATATATATATATATATATATATATATATACACATATAATATGTAATCAATATAACTTATTTCTAAGACAACAACAAACTCTAAAACATGTCATTCCCTCGCTCCCAGTTTTTTCTGCAACCTCGCTGCGCGCGCATCCTGAATGTTTACAAACATGGTAATTCACCTATACTTACAGGTTTCTTCCTAATGCAGCATCACTTTCGTTTTTTTAATGGCGGCCGTGTGAAATAAGCGTATAGGGTCAGTTCTTTATAAAGAATTTCACATTTCAGATTCCATGCATAAATAAAGGATTGTAAAGATGTGATGGGTTGTGTCAGTGCACTCTTTTAAGGACAAATTCATCCATCAGTATTTGAAGTTGTGTGTTTTTTTTTTTTTGCCAGCAGTGAAGAGCAGATTTGATTTGTTTGTTTGAAAGTGTCAGAGAAGAACTTCTGGAGTGTCAGAAAATCTGACAAGCCAGGAAAGCCGTCAAGTCGCTGAAGTGAAAAGCCGACGGTACATTTAACAGCCGGCGTGCAGACAGAGGAAGGAGAGACAAAGATCTCGCATAAATTTCAGCCCGCGTATTAAATTTAAGGAATTAATTACAGAAAGCCATTAACGACATTCAAATCTTTAAATAATTAAGCAGTTCTTTCTGCTCGCTACACTCTGAGCCGTGATGGCAGTAATGACGAACAAATCCAGTCAGACGTCTCTAAATTCTGACGTCAGTGTGGGAATATTCTCATCCGTGAAGGGATTAATCTGTCGCTGGGAAGAGGATGTTTCATTAAAGTTTGATCAAGTCGAGTTGTGACTAGGAAATGAAGCGATGCATCAAAGGAAGCGCAGAGTGTTCGCTGTATTTGTGATGTTAGACTTATGATCCACTCCACAGCGTGTAAACCTTTTTTATTTGCTCTTTTCTAGCTTGTCGTTTTGTGGATTTGACATCGTTGAACTCATCACGTTACTCATAAAGATACCGTTTGATTCATCACTGCAGTTATTATGTTATAAACATATTTCCCTGAGTATTTCTCCGGTAGATGTGTTATATACAGTTGAAGTCAGAATTAATAGACCCCTTCTATATTTCTTTCCCCAATTTTTGTTTCAACTCTAAACAAAATAGTTTAAATAATTTATTTATTTTATCTTTGCCATGATAAAAGATATTTTAGATATTTTTCAAGATGCTACATCATTCAGCTTAAAGTGACATTTAAAGGCTTAACTACACTCACCGGCCACTTTATTAGGTATATCTCACTAGTACCGGGTTGGACCCCTCTTTGCCTTCAGAACTGCCTTAATCCTTCGTGGCGTAGATTCAACAAGGTACTGGAAATATTCCTCAGAGAATTTGCTCCATATTGACATGATAGTATCACGTGGTTGCTGCAGATTTGTCGGCTGCACATCCATGATGTGAATCTCCCGTTTCACCACACCCCAAAGGTGCTCTATTGCATTGAGATCTGGTGACTGTGGAGGCCATTTTGTGTCTGAGATGATTCACGCTTTATGACATGGAGCTGCATTCTGATGGAAGTAGCAATCAGAAGATGGGTTGCTACAAGGCAGGATGGATCCATGCTTTCATGTTGTTGATGCTAAATTCTGACCCGACATCCGAATGTGTCAGCAGAAATGGAGACTCATCAGAGCAGGCAACGTTTCTCCAATCTTCTATTGTCCAGTTTTGGTGAGCCTGTGTGAATTGTAGTCTCAGTTTCCTGTTCTTAGCTGACAGGAGCGGCACCCGGTGTGGTCTTCTGCTGCTGTAGCCCATCCGCCTCAAGGTTGGACGTGTTGTGTGTTCAGAGATGCTCTTCTGCAGACCTCGGTTGTAGCGAGTGCTTATTTAAGTTACTGTTGCCTTTCTATCAGCTGGAACCAGTCTGGCCATTCTCCTCTGACCTCTGGCATCAACAAGGCATTTGCGCCCACAGAACTGCCGCTCACTGGATATTTCCTGTTTGTCGGACCATTCTCTGTAAACCCTAGAGATAGTTGTGCGTGAAAATCCCAGTAGATCAGCAGTTTCTGAAATACTCAGAACAGCCTGTCTAGCAACAACAACCATGCCATGTTCAAAGTCACTTAAATCACCTTTGATCCCCATTCTGGTGCTCGGTTTGAACTGTAGCAGATCGTCTTGACCATGTCTACACGCCTAAATGCATTGAGTTGCTGCCAAGTGATAGGCTGATTAGAAATTTAGGTTAGCGAGCAGTTGGATAGGTGTACCTAATAAAGTGGCCGGGTAATGTAGGTTATTTAGGCAAGGTAGCATAATTAGGCAAGTCATTGTATAACAGTGGTTTGTTCTGTGGACAATCGAAAAATATATATATTGCTTAAGGGTGCTAATAATATTGACCTTATATATTTTTTTTATTCCAATTTTTTTCCAAAGCCGAAATAAAACAAGTAAGACTTTGTCCAGATGAATAAATATTAGGAATTAGGAAAATACTGTGAAAAAAAATCATTCCTCTATCATTTGGGAAATATTCAAAAACAGAGAGGAAAAAAAAAATCACAGGAGGGTGAATAATTTTGTCTTCAGCTGTATGTACGTGCCTATTTATGACATGAGGGGAAAACTGCCTACCAAAAAGAGCTTAATCTTGTCCTTAATTGGAAAATTGCTTCGTAAAATAAAGCAAATTACATTCTTCTAAAAAAAAAATACTCATAAAAAGGTGTATGTGTGTAGTGTTTGTTCAAATCTTGTATTTGTGTAGCAGAGTAGGCGTCCATGAATAATCTATGCCACCCCCTCCGCCATTCTTTGAAGCCGCTCCTCGTGTTCACAGTAACCCACAGCAGCACATCAAAAACCCTTTGAGCACCAAAGCAGAGGACGAGAACAAGATGAAAGCAGACACAACTCATTTGGATTGACAAAATCAAAAGGGAAGAAGTGATTCACATCTTCTGTTCCCCTATGCCACTGAAAAAATAAAACTCCCCTTTTGGTATTAAAAAGAATATGCTTGTGGCATCAGGGTTTGAAGACACTGATGCAACATCTGTTCTGACAATAGCATCTATATTACAAGCAGAGATCATTAAAATGATCATGCCATTCAGTCTAAAACATAATCAGATTACAAAAGGACACATTACTACATCTACAAAAGACATATTAAGCACTACGAAGAACTGCAGGCTCAAAGATTGAATCTATTACGAACATATACTGCAATAAATAACTTGACTACTTAGAGATTTTGTCATGGATGGATGGGTGGAAAAAAGGAAGAATGATGTACAAAAGAGTGAACGATGGACGGAAAATGATGGATGGATATTTGGACAGACAAAAAAACAGATGGATGGATAGATAGATATTTGAATGGAGGGATGTTTGAATTGGTGTATTGAAAAAAAAGATGGATGGATGGATGGATAGAAAAGAAAAATGGAAAGAAAGAAAGAGATGGATTGGTAGAAAGAAAGAAAGAAAGAAAGAAAGAAAGAAAGAAAGAAAGAAAGAAAGAAAGAAAAGAGAGATGGATTATGGATGGATGGATGGATAGATGGATAGAAAAGAAAAATGGAAAGAAAGAAAAAGAAGGATTGGTGGAAAGAAAGAAAGAAAGAAAGAAAGAAAGAAAGAAAGAAAGAAAGAAAGAAAGAAAGAAAGAAAGAAAGAAAAGAGAGATGGATTGTGGATGGGTGGATGGATGGATGGATGTATGGATGGATAGAAAAACAGGTGGATGGTAGAAAAGAAAAATGGAAAGAAAGAGATGGATTGGTAGAAAGAAAGAAAGAAAGAAAGAAAGAAAGAAAGAAAGAAAGAAAGAAAAAAGAAAAGAGAGATGGATGGATGGATGGATGGATGGATGGATGGA